TTATTTTTATTATATCATAATAACGATTACGCTAACAAAAATACCTATTAAATAACAATACTTATTTACATTGATGCACAATTCGATAAATATTATATTCTAATAATAGTGAGTATATTTTATATGTAAAATTTATTTTTCTTTTGATGTATAAATTAATATAATATTCAAAGTATTATACTTCTCTCATTGGAGCATGTATTCATTTCGTTTTTGCATTTGAATTTTATTATATTAATATTTTATAAATAATAGTACAATAGAAAAATAAAATGATACCATTCTATTCCAAAAAAATAAGAAATAAATCAGTACACATGCAAACAACACATATTAGAATAACACACAACACATGCTATGTATAATAAAGGTATGTGCTATTTTTTAATAATAACAAGTGTGTTGTATATAAGTATATCATGTGTTATGAGACTATAGCATGCGCTGTTAATTCATGTGTTATATTTGTATTATATTAACATATACAATGTGTTATCCGTAATAATACTATGTGCTGTTGAAACTATAACATGTGTGTTTTGTTCATGTGTTGTATTTATATTATATTAACATATACATTGAATTGTTTGTAGTATTATTATAGGTTGTCTAATAGTATACGATGTGTTGTTCAATATAGTGTTGTATTTTAAATTTAGCACCATAGCCGCTACCCTCAAACAATACATTGTGTCTTTTTTTTTTATAATTAATTTTAATATAAAATTATATGTTAATTTAACACAAATAATGATAAAATAATAGAAAAATTGCAAAAGATATCCTTCATGTATACTTTATTATCACTTTTATCTTGTATTTATCTCGCTAATAAAATATATTCCATATATTTACAAAAATTGCTATTTATATTATTGGCCGCGCGTAGCCGCGCATGATCGCGCGTCACTGCACGTGGTGTGAACGTCACACGCAACTAAACGACATAATTAATGACTTTTGCAAACATGTAATATATATTTTGAAAATGAAATAAATATAGGACAAAAGTAATAAATATAGAATATCTTTTTTGCAATTTTCTCAATCTATTATTATTATTATTATTATTATTATTTATCAAGTTAGAAAAATCACTATTGACAATTCTTAGACAACAGACCCATTTAAAAGGTGTGGGCACAATTTCAATAAGTGACTGTCAACAACTATAATATGTCACACTAATTTGATTACTCTTTATAGGACACTTAGCTATTTTATATTCACTTTGTATAGGTACATCTTGTCATTTAGAATGTGAACAAATAATCAATATATTTACTAATTTAATAAATATAACGTCACAATATTAATTAAATATTATTCTTTCTGTCAATTTTATTTTTATTTTTATTTTTATTTTTCTTTTTTCTATCTGCAAATTAAATTTATTTTTTTTATTAATTTTAATTAAAAAATTATATATTTATCTATTATACTTCATTTAATATTAATTTATTGTAATTATTACATATTATTCTTTTTTAATTACCAATTGATTTTTCATAAATATCTCTAATTATACTTTTTTATTTTTATTACTTTTTGATAAATTTTTTGAAAACATTCTAAAATATTATTATTTGAATTCTGTATTTTTTAAAAATATATATTTATATTATATTCCAACCAAATTTTTTTAAATCAAATAAAAAGAAACAGGCAGGGTATGTTTGTTTTGCAAAAAATAATTTAGAGAATTTTTTTTATATAAATATAAAAAAATTGTGAGAAGAATATAAAAATAATGAATATATATAATATATTAATATTTTTCATAAAATATGTAAAAACCAAAAAGAGAAAAGAACAAACCCGGACCCATTTCTTTAACTTTTTAACCAAACTCCAATGGATTATGAAATAAAGGAATATATTATTTCAAAAAATCTTTTTTTTTTTAATCATATTAATTCACAAATAAGATAAAAGACCTTTATCACCTAAAAAACCTATTTTAGGCACAATTTAAATAGATATTTTTAGAATTATCGATCATTTTAAAAATAATAAAATAGTTAAATAGTTAATGTACTTTTACAAAATAAATACTCTCTCCATTTCGGATAAATTATCATTATTAGTGTAGATAAGATAATTTATGTAAAATATAATTAGTAAGTAATTAAAAAGTGTATTACTAAATAATAATAATTATATAATACAAATAATTATTAATTAAAATTAAGATAATTAAATAATTTAATTAAAATTAATTAAATTATAAATTATGAAATTTAAAATATGATTATAATATATACTCATTTTTTTTATATAAAAAGAAAAGACAAAATATGTAAGACAAATCGAAAATAGAAAAAGTTAATGGTGTGTTTACTTGCATAATTCTAGTTTTAATTTTACTTTTTCAATTTTATTTTTATATTTTAAAAATCAAATCAAACCCTAATCTTTTATTTATTATATTATACTAAAAAATTTAATTTTATACTTAAAATATCATATCAATACATATTTATATCACATCAAATAATTATTTCAATTTTAAATTTTACAATTCAAAACTAAAACTCCACGAATAAACACACCCAAATATCTTAAGTAAGACCAAGGGAGTAATATTTAATATAACTTATTTTTGAAAACAAAATACACAGGGTGAGCATTGGTCGGTTTAAGTTGAAAAAATCGAAACTTTTTTTGGTCCGGATTGTTTAGTTTAGGTTGTTCGGTTAATTGGTTCGGTTCGGTCCAACATTAAATCTATAAATTTCAGTTTCGGTTCGGTTATGGTTTTAAAAATTGAACTTTTAAAAATAAATAATATTCCCTCCGTCCCAATACAATAGTCTTGTTTACCATTTTTGTCCATCCCAAAACAATAGTCTCATTTCCATAAATAACCATATCACCATAAAACTATTCCTACTTTGTTCATTATTATTACACAATTGCCACTACTTTTTACACTAATATAAAAAGTCATTTATCCTTACTTTTTACTAACTACCAATATAATATCAATATTTCTTAAATCTTGTGTCCAACACAATAAGACTATACTTTTGGGACGGAGGGAGTATATATTATAATTTTGGGTATTTGTATTTGATTGTATATGTAAAATATATTTTAATAAATAAAAGTTAGGTTTCTTCAATTTTAAATCAAACCAAATCGAACTAGTTTGATTCGATTTATTTGGTTTCGAAAAACTTTGATTCGATTTCGATTTCAGTTTTTATAAATTGAAAACTGATCAATTTCGAAAATTCGGTTTGGTTCACCGAATACACACCCCAATAAATATAAAATGTAATGTATACATGCCTTAGAAATTTGACAACAAAATATACAAAATATAACACAATCTTTAATAAAAAACATATATTTCCTCCGTCATAATTCAAAATATTTTTTTTACCATTTTTGTCCGTCTCACTTAAAATTATAATTTTTTATTTTTAGTCCAAATAATCATACGTTAATACCAAAATACTCATAACTTTTTTTTATATTACAAATATACCATTATACAAAAGTCAAATAACAAAATATCAAAATATGTTAAACGCTTCCACCTGAAAAACTCCAATGACTCTTTTCAAATGGGACGAATAGAAAATAAAAGATTAAAAGAATATTTGTTTTGTTTGTTTTGTGACACAAAACAAACGAATAGTGTAGGGTGTGTTTGTTTGGGGCTTGGATTTTGAGTTGGGATTTGAATAGTAAGAATTTTGAATTTGAATAGTTGTATGATGTGATATAAATAGGTGATGATGTGATGTTTTGAATGTAAAATTAATTTTTAATATAATATAAAAAATGAAAAATAGGTGTTTGATTTGATGTTTTTGGGGGAAAATTTTTGGATGAATAGTGAGATTTTGTCAAAATCCATCAAACGAACATAATTTGTGATAAACTCATACGCCTATCATTAGAAATAACAAGAATTATTAATCAAAAGGAGTTTCAAATATAATATATCATCAAAAATTTGAAAAACAAAATCAATAACTACAACTCAAACCAATAACCACACAAACAAACGACAAATAAAATCAAATTTGATTTATAAAGTATAAATTTTTCTTTTAAATTTTCATCAGTCAAGACTTGAATCTTTATCCCATAAATTTGATTTATAAAATCCATTAGGATGCGTTTGTTTGTCGGTTTTAGTTTTTAGGTTTGAATTTTTGAATAGTAAAAAAATTGAATTTGAATAGTTGTTTGATATAATATAAATAAAAGTTAATGTGATGTTTTGAATGTAAAATAAATTTGTAGTATAATACTCACTCCTTCCCACGTTGCTGTTTTTATCCATCCCATATCTCATAACATTTTTTTTAGAAATTGATTATACACTTTCATCTCATTTTAAATATATAATTTTTTAATTTTAATAAAACTAATTAGTTATGTTAGTATTAATTTATGATTATTTATATTATATGATAATTATTTTTACTAATACACTATCAATTATCTACTAATTATACTTATTATAAATTCTCGTATCTATAGTAACTCGGACACTATATATGAGATGGAGGGAGTATAAAATACGAAAAGTAATCAATTAATTTAATATTTTTGTAGAAAAAAAAAAGAAAATTTGAATAATAAAAGTCCATTATAAAATCCACATAAGAAGATAACCTTAGGTTTTCAACAGTGTATTTACTTGTAAGATTTTAGTTTTGAGTTTTGATTTTAATAGTAAAATTTTAAATTAAAATAATTATTTGATATGATATAAATATGTATTAATTTGATATTTTGAATGTAAAAATTAATTTGAATATAATATAATAAATAAAAAATATGCGAATGATTTGATGTTTATTTTCTCGTTTCCAAAATGGGATTTTAGATTTTTTGTGAGGACCATGAAACCTACTTCCTACCAAATGCTTCTTATTTATATATAAAAAAATCAACAACAGCCCTTACCCAACACTAACAGTGCGAAAGGGAATTAAAATTTTTGAAAAAATAAAAGAAATAAGACAAGAAGAAATTTAAAATTAGTCGGCGTTCGATTCTGATAGAAAATCTATCCAATCAATCCCAACTGTAGGTATCTTCTCTCTCCAAATCCGATTCTGGGCGTTCGAATTCAACCCACATGAGAGAGAAAGAGGGAACTACTATAATAATTTGGTTCCCTTTTCCTTCGGCTGTTGTGTTGCTTTGTGCATGTTGCTTTCACACTCACCTTTCTGTTCCTTTTGAAAAATCTACTTGAATCTTCACTTTCAATTTCAAGAATCTTTACAGAGGAGGAGCCGTTCGGTTGGTTATTGTTTCCCCTGCTTCTTAATTGTTTTGATTTCACAGAAATGAAATGGGAATTATCTACGAAGATGCGGTTCTGATTAAGGAAGCCGAGAGGGCAGACGAGCACACCGTTATCACTATCAATTGCCCCGACAAAACCGGGCTCGGCTGCGATTTGTGTAGAATTATATTGCTCTTCGGGCTGAGTATTGCCAGAGGGGGTATTGATTTCAAGTTCTCGATCTGAATGTTTGTTGATTGATTTTTGTTCGGAAGGGGATTTAGGGTTCTTGTTATTGTGAATTTTGTGTAGCTGAAGTTAAATTTGTTAAATTAAGCGAAGGTTCCGATAAACATTTCTTCGATTGTAATTTCAGCATCCGTCTGTGTTTGATCCTAATAATTTGTGCTTCTGAAAGATTACTGATTCTAGGGTTTGAACAGATGTTTCAACAGATGGTAAATGGTGTTATTTGGTTTTTTGGGTTGCTGGAAAGCCAGCAACCAAATGGAGCTTGTTGAAGAAGAGGCTGCTTGATGTGTGCCCTAGATGTATTCCATCGGCGTCGGGGATTTTCTACTTTATCCCCGAGTTTCAGCAGCCGAAGGAGCCGGAGATTTTCCTGCTCAAGTTTTGGTGTTTGTATGATAGGAAAGGTCTTCTACATGGTAAGCTTGGAATCCATTGAAATTCAGGGGAGTTATTGATAGGGATTACTTGATCCTTGAAAGTGTTGTGGCATGATTCGATCTAAGTTATGTTAAATTGTACGATTTTGTGTTACTTAGCAGATATGATCTTTGTCTTTATCATTGGTATCTAAATTTGAATAAATTAAGGCATATGATGGCTATGACAAGGATAGGATTTGGTCGAAGTTATGTAAAACTATTTGATTTTGTGTTACTTAGCGGATGTGATCTTTGTCTTTATCATTGGCATCTAAATTTTAATAAATCAAGGCATATGATGGCTATGTCAAGGATAGGATTTGGGATTGCTTGATCTTGAATGTGCTGTAGCATGATTTGGTCTAAGTTATGTAAAACTGTTAAATTTTTTGTTACTTAGCAGCGGATGTGATCTTTATCTTTATCGTTGGTATCTAAATTTGAATGAGTTAAGGTATATGATGGCTATCTCAAGGATAGGATTTGTTTGATTGACGACAAGTGTGGCATTGTTATTGTCATAGCAACGGGCCTTCAAGTGTGGATTTTTTTTGGTTGCCGTTGTGTTGTTGCATTTGTAATTATCATAGAGGAAATTTAGAAAGCTTCTTTTTCTAATTATTTTGGGAATTCGGTACCCCAAAACCTGCCTAGATGTGTGACATACTTCTTAGCTTCATTCTTTGTTTTTGTCTCTGTGCTTGGCAGACGTCACTGAGGTTCTATATGATTTAGAGCTAACAATAAGGAGAGTGAAAGTCTACACGGCGCCTGATGGTCGAGTGATGGATCTATTCTTTATCACCGACACCAGGTTTGTCTTTAGATTATTTTCCGGTTGTACACTTGGTCGGCAACTCATTTTTCCTGGTGTCAATGGAGTTTTTTGAGTTTTCCTTTGTTAAATATTATCATACAGCTTCTGTAAAGAACAAATTCTGACTATCTTTCTTATTCTGCAAATTTTGCACTGTAGGGAACTTCTTCAGACAAGTAAAAGGCGAGACGAGACAATTAAGTGTTTGAAACTTGTTATAGGAGACGCCATGATGAGTTGCGAAATTGAACCAGCTGCTGCTGAAGTTGCTTCATGTTTACAGTCATATCTTCCATCATCCATTTTTGAAAACATTTTTACTCAGCCACATCTCGAGCAGCAATCCACTTCTGATTCGGCATCCATCATGTTCGACAACTCCCTAAGCCCATCGCACAATCTTGTCCAGATCTTCTGCCAGGATCACAAGGGCCTCATCTACGATATCATGAGAACCCTAAAGGATTACAACATCCAGGTATGCCACACCCTAATTTTATCAACATCAATGCGCTTAATTTGTTGAATGCTCTTTAAAAATGGTGATTTTGTTTTGATGATCCATCCATCTCTACAATTTTTTTGTTGGGGTGTTCATTGTTTCATGAACTCTGTCATCAGATTTCTTACGGCCGCTTCTTTTCAAACTCGAAAGGGAACTGTGAGATGGACCTGTTCATAATGCAAGCCGATGGGAAGAAGATAGTCGACTCGCACAAGAGAAACACTCTCTGCTCTAGGCTACAAGCCGAGCTCGCCCACCCCATTAAAGTCGATGTTGTAAGCAGGGGACCCGATACAGAGCTGCTGGTTGCGAATCCTGTCGAGCTGTCGGGAAGGGGCCGGCCTCTGGTGTTCTACGACATCACTCTCGCCCTCAATATATTGAACATAAGCATCTTTTCGGTACGCCACTCATCTTCATTTGATCCTGTTCGAGTAATCTGCATTGTTTGCTGTCACCTCTCCTGACTCAACTCTATAAGTTCCGTTTTCACAGGTGGAGATTGCTCGGCATCGAGTTGAAGATCGGGAATTCGAAGTGTACCGGATCTTGCTGGATGAAGGGGACTGCTTCTCAGCAACAAGAAATGAGATTAAAGAATGTGTGAAGAAGAAGCTAATGGGATGGGAATGAAGCTTCCAAGATTCAGCTACAATTTAAGCATGAATGTGTACATATATATATATGTGTATATATATGTATATAATATATATAGGTTTGGTAGAGAAAATTAGTATGGGTTTTAGACGAATTTATGAAAAGAGTTTCCAACCACAAAATTCAGTGCTTTTGTTGGGTAAATATCATTATATATATATATATATCCTTAAAAAATATTCTAAAAAAAAATCCACTCTTTCTCGCCATAGTTAAAGTGTAAATCTTATAATATTAATAAAATATATTCTATATAAAGTATTAATCTAAATTAGTGTGGGTTTTATAATTTAAAAAGTATTTTAGTTTTTATACATTTATATAGTATATTAAATATAAAATATTATTACTACGGTAACAATAAGTGTATTTATACTTAGGAATTGAGAAATTATAGCATTTTTTATTTTTATTTTTTATGATATGGAAATTCACGTCATATAAAAAATAAATTATATCATTCTTTTATTATGAAGTGTTTGTTCACTTGATATTTCTTATTGGAATAATTTTTTATAAATATTATTAAAAAAATATAATATATATATATTAAAATATAGTCAATAAGCACAATATAATATATATTTTTATATTATAAACACAATTCTCTATATCTATGGTAAAAAAAATATATATCGTGTCTGGTAAGAGATTGTCTGATGGCGTGGGGGTGGATTCGTGACCGTGAGGTTATGAGTTTAAACGTTCGACGCTTCCAAATCTTACTTGTGTTTGTATTGTGTGACTTATGTTATCGGTTTAATTGACAAGATATTAGATTCAACGGAAGGTTTACCCACAACGCACACTAAATTGTGCAAAGATTTGTCTGTATTTCATAAAATTGCATGGGTGTGTTTGTTTGGGAGTTTGAATTTTAGTTCTTTATTGGTGTAATCGACAAGATATTATGTGTTTGTTTGGAGATTGGATTGAATTTACACTATTCATCTAATTTTTTTTCCCCAAAAAATATCAAATCAAACACTTATTTTTCATTTTTTATATTATACTAAAAATCAATTTAACATTCAAAATATCACATCAACACCTATTTATATCACATCATACAACTGTTCAAATTCAAAATTTTTACTATTTAAATTCCAACTCAAAATCCAAACCCCCAAACAAACACACCCTAGATTTAACAGAAAGTTTACCTAGGGGTGTGTTTGTTTGGGGTTTGGAATTTGAATAATAAAAATTTTAAATTTGAATAATTGTATAATATGATATAAATAAGCGATGATAATTTTAATTATAATATAAGAAATGAAAATAAGTGTTTAATTTGATACTTGTTGGGAGAAAAATTTAATTGAATAGTAAAAATGTGAGAAAATTCTTGAAAAGAACACACATAAATTCTCCTTAAAAATGTCTACAAACTTTAATAAATCACTGCCCGAATCCAATCCAAATACTCTTTCAAAACTTACTACCCTCCATTTTGAAGAAATTCATCGAATAGGAATGAAATTTCACGAGGATTTGTTATTTTTGTGTTTGGCTTTGTGTTATAATTTTTTTTTTCCTTTAAATAATTCAATGTGATGCTTTATAAAGAAAAATAATGAATTTTTATATGTGAAAAATATATAATAAATAATAATAATAATAATAATAATAATAATCTTAAAATGGAATCAATACAAAAAATGAAGTAATTTGCTTTTATAGCAAACGTGAAAGATGTTATTATTTCTAAAAGCATATATAGCGGTCTTAAAATAGATAGTCTTCTAACGTTATCGATACTTTTTCTTACGAAATTCAAAAACTATATATATATATAGTGTTTGTTTTGTGAAATATTTTGAAAAGATATATATATATTTTTATGTAAAATATAAATTTTTTTTTTTTTTTTGTAGATAATATAAATAATAAATATAATAAATATGTATGATATTTTTTTAGGAGAAAAATAGAGACAACTTCCTCGTTCTCTCGTGCAGTAAAAATCAATTTCAAACTGTGTGAGTCCTTTTAATTTTAAGTAAAATATTGTATATTTTAACTTTTTTGTATAAAATATTACTTTATATACACACGTATATATCCATTGACACTGTGTGTATGAGACAACCGGACAGAGTATTGCCTGAGACGGATGATCACGTCTTAGTTTGTATCATATGTTGAATAGCCTTTTCATTGTAAAAATCACTATATATGCTCTAAACTTAATTGATTAATACGTTGAACAAACTATTTAGATTTTTTTTTTTATTCATGATTAATTTTTAGAGCAATATAAAAAAATAAAATTTATTTTTCGTGTAATTTCTAGTATTTATAGAATAAGGACAATCCAAACCCATTGAAATATGCAGTGGGTTGTGCAAAAATTGGGAAATGAGCTCCAACACTCCTCCAAATCCCTTCATTTTTGTAGCCCAATACAGTGTTGGAGTAACATTGTACCTCACTTCCATTTTTTGAATAGAGTTTTTGTGATACTATATAATTTTATTTTTTTGAAAATATAATACTCCCTCCGTTGAATTGAAATGTTACCATTTTTCATTTTCGTCCGTTCCAAAACAAGGTTACCATTTTCTAATTTAGTAATTGTACTACCTACTTAACATAATAAATACCCTTTCAACTTACAATTTATTACACAAATGTTAGTACTTTTTATATTACACCATACTAATAGGGGTATTTTTATCTTTTTACTACAATCCAATATAATACTAATATTAAAAAATTTTATGTGCAAAAAGCAAACGCCACCCTTCCAACGGGACGGAGGGAGTATATAATTTTATTATTTTTTTAAAAGTGATACTCCCCCCGTTCCATAAGAATGATACTATTTTCTATTTTTGTCCATCCCAAAATAAGGATACTATTTTCTTATTTAGTAATTCTACTACCTACCTAACATAATTAATACTCTTACAATTTTCAATACATTACACAAATGTCATTACTTTTACGTCACACAATCTAATTGGGGAATTTTTGTCCTTTTCACTATAAACCAATATAATACTACTATTCTTCCGGGATGGAGATAGTATATAATATTATTTTTTTAACAGTGATATATAATTTTATTTTTTGAAAAGCGACACTCTCTCCGTCCACTTAATAAGATTACATTTACCTTTTACGTCATTGTACGTAACATTAAAAAATTTACTTATATTTGTATAATTTTTGTTTTGTATAAACGTCATTCTATTAGTATCTTAAAATACTAATAGAAGTATTTTTGCAATTTCTCCTTAATTTGTATTACGTTTCGACATAATAATTAATATTCAAATATCAACGTGCAAAAACCAAATGTAAACTTTCAAAATGGACGGAGGGAATATATAATTATATTTTTTTAAAATTGATATATAATTTTACATTTTAAAAATGATATATAGTTATATTATTTTTGAAAAAACTAATGTATAATTTTATTATTTAAAAATGATATATAATTTTATTTTTTTAAAATAACGTGTAATTTACTTTGTAAAAAGTTACGTGTAATTTTCTTTTTTATTTTGAAATAATTATTTTATATATTTTCCACTAAAGATATTTATGTATAATTATTAGAAAATATATGTTTATATTTAAATTTATTTAAACTTGAAGATAATACTTCATATGTTATAAAATTATTTAACAAATAAAATTAAAATACAAAAGCACGTTGCAGAGGATGCAAATTTCATAAAATATTACTATATCCATCCCACTTAATTTATGCATTTTTCAATATCCGTCTGTCCCACATAAATTATTTATTTATTTTTTTGAAAATATAATTATACAATTTAATCACATTTTAAAATTCAAAATTTATATATATTTTTAATTTGAATTAAATATTTAGTTATTTTAATCTTAATTTATAATTATTTTTTGTTCACCAAATTTAATCTCACTTTTATTTTTCGACCGTCCGTTAAATTTACCCCATTACTATATTTGTAAAAGTAAAAAAAGTCAATATTAATTATTACCATTTATTTAATATTTATTTACAATAAATACAACTCACTTGATTATATTCTCTCTATTCTCTTTAATTTCTTATTAAATTTTCAAAAATACTCCAACTATCTTTTTATTTTTTCTATTTTTTCAATAAAATATTATTTTTCTTAATCCGCTTGTTGAGCTCAAATGGACTAAATTTTCTGGACGGAGGGAGTATATCATAATTATTTTTATTAATATATTTCTTAATTACTTACTAATTACATTATATTTGAAATTCCGTGCCCCAACTAAAGTGGACAAATTAGCTGGGACGGAAGAAGTACATTGATAAAATTTAAACTACATAAAACAAATTGCATAAAAAAAAAATATTATATTGATAAAATACAAATTACATAAAATATTAAAATATACTAATTTAATACGGAGGAATACCAAAATTTCCATCTCCACCAATATCACTGAAATATTGAGAAACCATGTTAGAAAAAGATTGTGGATTTGATCCTTGAAATTCCGTTGTTTTTTTATGTAAAATTTCATCTTTTTGAGCTGGTAATAAGCACGCTGAGTAGGATCAGAAATAAAATTAAAGTTCATACTCATAATTTTTTCCTCACGTGCCATTCTCTTAAATGCTAATTTTTGATAAACTTTTGTTATATTAGAATGAACAGTGAGTTCTTGTGGTACAATAACTCAAATGGTAGAAAGATATATTTATAGACAAATTTTAAATAGATATCAAATGTTATCCATTGAAAAACTTAATCCCAAACGTTTATTTGGATTTCACAACTCGCTAGCCATTGGATCTTTTTTTTCTACCAATCTGAATTATTTATGTTATATTTGACTATACATATATATATATATCTTGTAAAAATTTATTTATCCATATCAAAGCATTCCAAACCGTTCGTTTGGATTTCGTCTTCATTTCATCCGTTGAATGAATATCTATATTATTCAAATAATTATTATATATATTATATAAATTATTAAAATCTACTTATCCATATCAAAGCAATGTGACAATTCATTTGAATTTTCATCTTCATTTCATCTGTTGGATGAATATCTATATTATGCAAGTAATTATTATAATATAATTATTATATATTATAAATTATAAAAATTTACTTATCCATGTCAGAGCAATCATGATCATTCTTTTGGATTTCATCTTCATTTTATCCATTGAATGAATATCTATATTATCTAAATAATTAGTACTCTCCCCGTCTCAGAAAAGATGTTTTATTGGGAGTGAGTACGAGAATTAAGGAATAATAATATTTAATTGAAAGTGAGTATAAAGTAGAAGGTAAAAGATTAAAATACCCTTACTTTTTGAATGATTTTAAAAAGTATATTGGAGTAATAATTAGGATAGTTTGGAAAAGTAAGAATAATTTTGTTATAAAGTGGTGACCACAATTACTAAATAAGAAAACAAGACAATTGTTTGGGACGGACGGAAATGGAAAAATAAGACAACTCTATTGAGACGGAGAGAGTATATATTATGAATTATAAAAATCTACTTATCCATGTCAGAGCAACCCTGATCATTCGTTTGGATTTCATCTTCATTTCATCAATTGGATGAATATTTATATTATCTAAATAATTATTATACATCATAAATTATAAAAATCTACTTATTCATATCAGAGCAATCCTGATCGTTCGTTTGGATTTCATCTTCATTTTATCCGTTGGATGGATATCTATATTATCTAAATAATTATTATATATTATATATTTATAAAAACCTACTTATTCATATCAAAGCAATCATGTCCGTTTATTTGGATTTCATCTTCATTTCATCAATTTGATGAATATTCTATATTATCCAAATAATTATTATATATTTATATTTTATTTAAATTTTTTATTTTATAAATTAGTGGCCATTCAAAGTAGATTTATTTATTAAATATATATTCACTTATCAAAACAATATTATTTCTTTAGCATGAATAACTCTTCATTGTCAGATGACGAAGAAGTGGCAGAATTTTCTTGGAGTCCTCCAGAGGATGAAGCAGCAATCTCCATCATGATGTAAAATAATGCTTATTTGGAACAATTACTCAATCCATCTCAATCAACCAATCAAGACTCTATCCTAGATCATCGAGTAATTAATCGTAATCGTGAAAGTTCAGATCGTAATTTATATAATGATTATTTTTCAAATAATCCTTTATATAATGAACAAATGTTTCGTCGATGATTTTGAATGTATCAAAGTCTGTTTCTTTGTATTGTTGATGCGGTTAAAGATCATGATCCGTATTTTCAATAATGAAGAGATGGTATTGGTAGACTTGACTTGTCAACCTTACAAAAGGTAATTGCTGTTTTTCGGGTGTTAGCATATGGTGTACATGCAGATTCAACTGATGAGTACATTCAAATTGGTAAATCAACGACAATTGAAAGTGTTAAAGATTTTGTCGTACCGTTGTTGAAATTTTTTTAACTGTATATTTTTGACATCCTAATGCTAATGATATTGCAAGGTTGCTTCATATTGGAGAATCTCGTGGTTTTCTTGGTATGTTGTGCAGTTTAGATTTTATACATTAGAAATGGAAAAACTGTCTTATGGCTTTCACATGTCAATATGCAAGTCGTAGTGGATCATCAATTATTATTCTTGAAGTTGTGGCTGATTATGACACTAATGTTTTAGAATACTCGAACTTGTTTTCAAATCTTGCTCTATACTCATCCTGCACATTATACCATTCAAGGGAAATAATATAATACGAAGCATTATCTAGCTGATGATATTTATCCTAAATGGGTTACTCTTTTGCAAACTATGCAAACTATTAGTAATCCACGAGGTCTGAAGAAAAAACTTTTTGCATAGAAACAAGAGTCTTATAGAAAAGATATTGAGCGTGCTTTCGGAGTTCTGCAATTACGTTGGCATATAATTGCTAGAGTTGTTCGATTTTGGCCAAAAAAAAAATGTTCTGCATGATATTATCATTGCTTGCATTATTTGCATAATATCAGAGCCGGCTTTTAGCCGGAGCAATTGCTCAGAGCTTTTATTTTTTATTTTTATTTTAGCTATTATTAGATATTTTAAAATTTAATTTAAATTTTATCTCATATTTTCTGAACAATTACCTAATTTAATCTAAATTCTAAAAATAAATTCTAATGAGAATATTCTAAAATTAATCTCATCTTCCTCGCATTTAGAATTTGTAAATATTTTTAAAGATCATAATAATTATTATTATTATTAAATATATTAAAATTTAATTAAAATTTTATCTCATATGTTTTTTTCCCCAATTACCCATCAAATTCTAATTTTAATAAATTCTAACCAAATTTTTTCTAATCTTATATTCCTCGTCTTTAGAATTTGTATTTATTATTATTATTGAGTTATTGGCTTTATATTAGTCAAAATATTGTAAAATTTTATAATAGTTAAGATATGTATCACAAATTAAGCCCAGTAGTTCACTTCCACACAAGCCGGTCATCCTTTACGGACACATATATTTTATTTTTTGTATATATAATTAATATAATTTTTATTTTGTGAAATTTATTATTATATTATTTTTTGATAGTATTTTTAAAAAAAATTTATTTGTTTATAAGACCTATCATTTATTTATTGCTCGACATAGACAAATTACAGACAAAGATGCTCATTTCCTACATTAAAATGATTTAATATAGTATATATGAGAACATTATAGTAATTTCGCTCAATATAGTATTTTTTATCAGCATTTTGTCTTCTTTCTTCCCTATCATCTTGTCATTTTCAGGTTGTTATTTAATTTTTTTTTTCTTTTATTTAGTATTTAATACTCCATCCATCATCCCAAGATAATTTGACTATTTTTATTAGTTTTATAAGAAAGTAATTTTTTAAGTAGTTAATAACATAGATAAGATATGATATTATTTTATTATTTTTTATATAATTAATAATATTGATAGTTTTAAAATAAATTTAGGATATATAACTAAAAAATTAGAATATGTATTTAAATATTTTAAAAATTATATCATAGTAATAAAAAAGAAATACTCAATATAGATATCGTTTTGTAAAAAATAAAATTTTCTATAATAAAGCAAATAAAAATTATTTTTATTTATTTATAATTAATATAAACTAATTTTATAAAATATGAAATTTTAAATATAGATAAAAAGATATATATATATATTTTGAAGAGAGAAATATAAAACGTCTGAATATCTAAAATATCTCAATATAAATAAATTAGTTTTGAGTGGATTGTACGTAATGTATGATTTTATATGTTATTTGTTAATTAAGTTAATTTATATTTGTTAAATATGTTTTTATTTAATAAGTTTTACTCTAAATGTGTCGATTCCTATGAGACAGACAAATATAGAAAAAATATCCGTAGAAAGTATAAAACAAATAAATTTATACACTCCTTAATTTTAGTAGATTTGTATATAAATAATTTTTATTTTGAAAATATAAATTATTACACATTTATATTTATAATACATATACGCGTATATTTTTGCTATTGTAAATTAGTAAATAATTAATTTGATTTTACTTGCTAATTTGTAAAAGTATTAAAATTTAAATTTAATCTAAAATTTAATTAAGAGTACTTTGTTTGAAGTTTTGATTTAAATAATAAAAATTATATTAAAATAAAAATATACATAATCATGTTTTCACACCATTCAAATATATGGTTGTATGTATTTGTCTAGATCAGCTACCATATTGACCACTTTATATCCACATTAGTAATTTCCGTTATATATTTAATAATAAAATCAAAATTTATAAAAAAAAAAATTATAATAAAGCTAAGATTAATACACTTTTTTATATTAGAAGAAAATATTTTCTATAATTGTTTTAATATTTATGTAACTCACTTAATCATATTTCAACAGAAATAAATAAAAAAGTAAATCAATGAAATTAAAGATCAAGAGAAACAAACGTATGCTAAACGACATATTCAATTAACAATTAGTATATCATAAAGAAATTAATAATAGTAATTAGAAGATATCATCGACATGGAAAAAAATCAGGATGAGCAATTTCATGGCGTAATATTATCCCTAAGCTGACACCATTTTCGGATCTTTCTTCCCCAATTCCCAAAACGAAAAAAAATTGTTTTGCCCATCACAACATTGCTTCCGAAATGCAAAAACATCTCTCTCGTTGTCGACGTCACCTCTGCCATGCCTTAGTTTTTCATTATTCTTCGTCAGATCATTCTTCATCGATCTGCAATTTCTGAAACTGCAAATTGGAACAACAAAGAAGAAGAAGAAGAAAAGGACGTAGAAATCGAAAGATGGATTTTTATTAAGGCTGTAAGAGAATTGGTATTTCGATTCTAAACAAGCTTATAAACGACACAAAAAATGTTCAACAGAATAATGAAAAGAGGGCACAAAAAGCCCTCCAAGCCGGAGGCCGTCGAAACTCCGGTGCCGACGACATCGCCGTTGCCGAACGTAACCGTCAACCACGCCTCCCGAGCGACAGCTCCGGCGCCACAGCCAGCGCAGCCGGTGTCCCACACGGTGGTGCCGCCGAACCCCGGCGTTGTCGAGGTCTTGCCGATGGTGAAGGACGTGCCATTGCCCGAAAGGCACGCCATGTTCATAAGGAAGCTCCAAGTCTGCTGCATCTCCTTCGATTTCGCTGACACGATGAAATCGGTCCGCGAGAAGGAGATCAAGAGACAAACATTGTCGGAGCTCGTCGAATTGGTGCATTCGGGATCGTTCAAAATGAACGAGATCATGCAAGAGCAGCTCATCAACATGATCTCGATCAACATCTTCCGGCCGCTCCCGCCGGCGGCACACGAGACCACCGGCGCGGCAGGCGGAGATCCAGAAGAGGAAGAAATCTATATGGAACCGGCATGGCCTCACTTGCAAATTGTCTACGAATTGTTATTGAGATACATAGTTTCGTCGGATACCGACATTAAAATCGCCAAGAGGTATATCGACCACTCATTCGTGCTCAAAATGCTCGGCATCTTCGACTCGGAGGATCCTCGCGAAAGGGAGTATTTGAAGACCGTCGTTCATAGGGTCTACGCAAGGTTTATGATCCATCGACCCTTTATAAGGAGTTCGATCAACAATATCTTGTGCCGGTACATGTTTGAGACCGAGAGGTACAATGGGATCGTGGAATTGTTGGATATTATATCGAGCGTGATAACGGGGTTGGTGTTGCCGATCAAAGAGGAGCACAAGTTGTTCTTAGTGCGCGTACTTATACCATTGCACAAGTCGAAGGGGATTGCATCTTTCCATCAACAGTTGTCTTGTTGCATAACACAATTTGTCGAGAAAGATTACCGGTTAGCGGATATTGTCATAAAGGGTGTGCTTAAGTATTGGCCTCTTTCCAACTGTGGTAAGGAGGTTCTTTTCCTCGGCGAAATCGAAGAGATTTTGGAGGCGACGCAGTCGCCGGAGTTCCAACGGTGCATGGTTCCGTTGTTCCGGCAAGTCGCGCGATGCATAAACAGCCCACATTTCCAGGTTTGAGAATATATATGCATTTCATCGATTCATTGGTATTGAAATGATATAATTTTGGTTCTATAAATGGTGTTCTTTCTCATTCTAGCAGTTTAAGTTCGATACTGAATTTTAAAACTCAACACAGTAACAATATATTGTGTAATAACAAATATTATATAATTAATATAATACAAACACATTACGTGAATTAACACTATATAATATAGTTTCGCACAATATATGCTACTGCTCATTTTAGCACACAACATACTTATTATACAACATCCATATAAGTCTGTTTTATCTGTCTAGTGAGATCTATTACCATTTTCATGAAAAAAAAAAAAAAAAATCTTGTAAATGTATCAAAATGGTCTCTTATCTCACTCGTTATTGTTCTAATGGATGTGATCTAAACCCTAAACCCTAAAAGACATATGCTTACGAAAAATGACGAATGAAGAATCCACAATATAAGTGTTTCTCATATTCAAATATATGATCATTAAACGAGTGAGTTATAAAAGCTTTATCTTCGTAGTCATTTTTAAATGATAAGAAATTTCACTTATATAACCAAAACTATAAAGATTTCTTCTTTGCAATTCATGATGAACACACACAATATATGCACACATGCTAGATCATTAATACTTGTGAATAGTTTTATTGTTACGAAACCAATCTAGATTGTTATTGAGATGCCTCTAAGAATAGTAAATTATCATAACAATAAAACATAATAGATGTTATTTTGTTTCTTCTCCCTTTGCATAATCAAATTGTCACCCTTGTACACTTTGCATAGATTTTTAGTGTCAACATATTTATGCCTATGTGAAGCCAACTTGCGCAATGAAATAACATTAGCTCCAACAATAGGCATATACCTCACATTAAAAATTGTTTTGATATTACCATCGTAGAGCTTCAAACGAACTCTTCCAATGCCTTCAATTCGCTGCTTCATCTTATTCCCTACATTGATATAGCCAAAATCTCTCTTTGTATGCAAAGTATCAAATAAAGCTTGATCTTTACATATATAAACATCGGCAACAGAATCTAGAATTCTCAACAGGATTTGTATCTAAAAGAAGTAAATCACCTTCATAATTGATCACGTTCACGGAGTTCTCAGCTTTCAACTTACCCTTCAAATTTCTCAGACTTCAAGTCTTCTTTAAAAAGTCGACAATGATTTTGAATGTGACCAAGCTCTCAACAATAATGACACTCAATAGAGCTGTAATCTCTCGGCCGATTTTCGATCTTCCACCACGGTCGCTCTTCATTTTCCTCCCTCTTTCATAACTCCCCACAGCTAGTAGTTGACTCTCATTTGAAACTCCTTCATTTCCCATTATCTTGTCATTCTCCTTCAAAACCGTTATCGTCTCATTCAATTTCAATGTAGTTTTTCCAACTAACATTGATTGCACCAACGGCTTGTAGGATTTGTGTAATGAAGCTAAGAAGAGCAACGTTTTCTCTTCCTCTTTAATTTCCTCTTATGCATTTAACAGTCGACATAGTAGTTCATTAAACTTGTTAGTATGGTCAATTACATTACCTCCTTCCTCCATCTTCATAATCAAATGGTTAGTCAACGTCTTCGTGGAAAATTTACTCTCCAAAGTATCCCACAACCTCTTCGGCGATGTTTCCGTCAACACGGTAACCTTTATCTGCGGGGTGAGTGCTAATCGAATCGTGCTAACAGTCTTTTTCCGAATCATACTCCAATCACCTTCTTTCATACCTTCTGGCTTTGTATCTTCCAAGGCAACATCAAGACCTTACTGCACCAAATAGTCTTGAATTGTACTTTTCCACATAGTAAAATCACTATTTCCATCAAAGAATGGAATTATATATTTCAAAGTAGTGGACATAGTGCTTAATAACTCTCCAATAAACAAGCATTTCCAGCAACCAAATAGACTGAGGCTAAAAAATAAACCCAGAAACTCAAATCAGGCATAACCGACCTTTCTGGCAGAAATCTGATGTGTTGCCGGAACCTGCTGCGGAACTGCAACCTGACTGCTGGCGTGCCGTCAACTTCTCTCGAAACACCTCTTACTCATTTTCTCCTCACTTTGCCAAGACCTTGCTAAGAAATGACCTCGCTCTGATACAATTTGTTGGGAATACACAAGGGAAGAGAAAAAAAATCAAATAACAAGACACACAAATTTAACGTGGTTTGGTCTCACAACAGACCTACATCCACGATCCCAAAACGGGATAATCCACTAAAATATTTATTACAATTTTTGCACGAAAAAAATTATAAAACCCTCATCACAAAATCTCAATTTTATTCTCTCTAGTTACTAAAGAAAAAAGGCTTGTTGTCTGATTTTTAAAATATGACCCAAATGAATCAATTATATGAGCCAATGCCCCTACTTTTTATCATACTTCCGATGTGGGACACATGAAAAAGTTACACAACACTTGGGCTATAAATTCTTACTTGTAAATGATTGTAACAAGCTTATAGATTGTTAATGTAATAAGTACATAGATTGTTAATGTAATAGGAAGCAGATAAAGGGCCAATAGAGCTGCTATAAGCATCCTCTAGCATTTTTTACATTGTCATGGCTCAATCTTAATTTTATACATTATGAGTATTACAAAACTAGGAATACTATTGTGTACTCTTGATCAACTATCTTGGTGAGATGTGTTTGTTATTAATGTAAAATATCGTAACATAATGCATGCTACTATTATGCATTAGATGAGTTGTAGCTCAAAGCATTCTGAAAGAATGAGTAAGTGATTAGAAAACTTTCTTTTCTCAATTTTGATTAGCGTAGAAATTTCTAAACTATAAGTCCAATTAATAGTTAAAGTGAAGAGAAGATATACATATTAGTGCTAGTATTGTAGTATTTCTTAGCGCAATTGGGTTGTGATTCTAACCTACACATCAACCAAATCATGAGAAATAATGAGGTGAACTGGATTCTTTTGAGTACAATTACTAATCACAATTAATTCCTATAACATTATTTTTTAGCTAAGGATTTTGCTATATCACTTCTCAAAAATTATCCACAATTCGAAAAGTATAATCTCCTTGTGTCGGATCATTCATCCTCAAACATCTTTCCATTGGTCTAGTACTCTTTCGACATCTTCAAGGATCTTGTTAGTTCAGTCTCGCTATACTAGCACAAAGCACAAAAAATACCTCAAGAACTCATAGGATTAGAAGCTATGTCTTGCTCTCAAACTTGATAGTTTTACAAATGAAATCTACACCCTTATGTATGCATAACCCTTTCTCAAATAGATAAGTTTAGCATTTTTCACAAAATAAGTTTAGACTAAGTTAAACCCACAAGATAAGCATAAATTAAATCAAGAAATTCTAGGTTCTTCAAGAAAGCTTTGAAGAGTTCTAATTTTGGCTTATGCTCTTGGTTACTCTTGACCACATATTTGATCCGGGACACTACATAACATTAGTTAAATAGTATAGATTGCCTCTTCATTTGCCTTTGTCTACTATTAATCAAGCTTTCTCTTAGGCAATTTTCAACTCATATTGTTTGCATATGCATCTGTTAAATGATGATTCTGGTATATATAATATTTTACTCTTTCATGGGTTTATTGTGAATGGTTAGAGTGAATATATTGTTTTTATCCATCATAATCATATATTTACTTTATATTATTAACATCATTGTTCCTCAAATTCATTACTAAATATACAAATTTTTATGATTATTCTGTCTAATAGATGAGATAAGATATAGGATTTAATAGCATAATTGTTAGAATATGAAATTGAAATTCTCTATTTCAATTATAAGAATAAGTACATATTTACAATGATATACAAATCGTCTAAATAAGACAAGAATCCTACGAATCTCTTAAATAAGATAACTACCACGTAAAAATCTGAATTTGCCAAGATTGACTGAGAGTGATGTAGTCGTCCACTGGATCAGAGTCAGAAGCAGAACTCTCAACACCGTTAGAGTCGGAAACAAGACTCGCTCGCTCACAACAGAGCTAGAGTCGGAAACAGGGCCCCTCGCTCTCAATATAGTTAGAGCTGAAAATAGGACTCTCAACGGCGTTAGAGTCGAAAGTAGACTCTGTCAGTGGAATAGTAAAGACGGAGACGACATAAAAATAACAGTATGACCGAGCATAAATGTGAATAGAAGCATATACATCAATAAATATAAAAATATATACGGGATATAACAGGTCATAGAGGTACCCGGAGAGAATTTGGCTCTGATATTATGTTAGAATATGAAACTGAAATTCTCTTTTTCAATCATAAGAATACGTACATAAGGAAAAAACCCTACAATCTCTTAAATAAGATAACTATAATAAATATAATATATTGCTTCTAAATATATTTTAACAATAATCTTATCATTCCAAGGAAGCGCACTCTAACTATGTCAATTTAGGCGAATGCAAAGCACAAAGAGTAACCATTTGATTTTTGTAGGTTGTTAATCTTGTCACACATATATTTATATATATCTTAGTATATTTTATGTTTCTCAATGTTTTCCAAGGATGAGATTTGTGATTTTTTTAAAATCTAGTTGTCGTGTAAGATATTGTGCTTTTTATTTTTTTATTTTGTGAGTGGTTTTTTTGATTGAATAGTAGTTTGAGATATGATATTTTTCTAAAAAATTTATATTTTAATAGAATCTGCGAGTTGTTTAGTAAAGAAAATGAAATTAAACTCCATATAAATAAGTGAGGGTAAACTCGTGATCATTAGGTCATGTGTTCAAATCACTGACCTCTCTATATTTTGTTTGTCATATATGGTTCGTTTAGTGTGACTTATCTTGCTAGCTTAGTTTGCAAATGATTAGGTTTGAAAAAACGTTTAACCAGAGCAAATGCACAAATAATTCACTATCAAAAGTTGCATTGTCTATACTACTTGAACATCAGGGCTAATCATGTTGGCACTTGATCATAAACAGCTTCACATATATCCTAGTGGATAAACTTCTTAAGGGTTTTGTGGATAAGGTAAATCTTAAATCCATGCTATAGTTGTGTAAATATAAATAAATCTCTTTTTGCTTATGAATCAAGTTGGTCTGTTGATAGGTGGCTGAGAGAGCTCTTTTCATGTGGAACAATGAGCAAATAGTCGGCTTGGTTGCAGAGAATCGACACGTGATTCTACCGATCATATTCAGCGCATTAGAGCATAATATTCAAGATCATTGGAACCAGGCAATTAGCGGGTTGACCACCAACGTGCGCCGGATGTTTTTGGAAATGGACGCCGAGCTGTTCGAAGAGTGCCAGCAAAAGCACGAGGAAAAGGAGGCGAGCGCAGGAGCAGTCGAAGAGCGGCGCCTCTCTACTTGGAGGAGACTAGAAGAAGCTGCTGGAGCTCACCATTGAGTAATTTGTCATTTATAAGCTGCTTAGTGTGTTCATTTTGTTAAAATTTGGATTGAGAATAGAATACTTGTGAACCACTGAAAAATATTTTTATGCTGCTTCCAAATTTACAATTTTTTTTGGTACTTTGATATGTATTGATCTTGTGATGGTGTGGTGTTATATTCATTGTGGATTAACTCATACAGTATATCGAAAATATCATAGTATACGAGATATCATAGTATTATTTTTATTTTATCTATGAATATATATTGTTATGGTATTAAGATTTCTATATATACATATATATATATATATATAAATATCTTACTTGAAATTTTGGTATATATTATTTTATATGGGATTAGTACTCACATTCTATACCAAAATTTCAAAATATTCTTTACTTCGTACCAATTTTTTTCTAAATTGATTTTTACTTTTTTAATTTTTTTTGAAAGTATTTTTGTATTTTCGGTTGTTTTGAGAGGGGTTATATTTGAATAGAAAATTGATATTGATTAGTGTTTTAAATAGAGATTATATATTGGGTGTGCTTTCGGTATACATGTGTATCTTTAGACGATGCATTTTGAGTTTTAGGGTTTATTGTAGTTTGTTTTTCATTTTTTGTTTTAATAATAATTTGTATGTGACTTTTTTTGAAACAAATTTGAAATTGAATTTCTATAAAGATTAATTTTGAGAAATAAAGGGTTTGTTTCTTCAACAAAAAATTTTCTAACACATTTCTCCAAAAAAACAATTAATATACTTACTACATACTCACTATTTTTACATTATCTATACAATTCTCTATACCCCACGTAAAAATAAAAATAAAAAAATTCAAACCAAAACACAAAACAAACACCCCCCAAATAGTTGTTAGATATCATTTTTACATTATCTATACAATTCTCTATACCCAACATAAAAAAAAAAAAAAAAAAAAAAAAAAAAAAAATTCAAACCAAAACACAAAACAAACACCCAAATAGTTGTTAGATATCATTTTTAGATCAAAATTGTAAAATTGCATTTTAGCAAAAAATGAAAAAGAAAAATAAATAAAATCAAAGAGAACAAACCTCGATGTATTTCTAAAATGAATTTCATGAGATAAATAATGCAAAAAAATGCAACTAAAATACAAATTTTCCTAAAAATACTAATATATTACACACATTTATTATTTTTATATTCCCTACACAATTCTCTGTACTTCAAGTTAAAAAAAATGTACTTCCCAATAATCTCACAGAACAAACACACGTATAATTCATATTTTAAATAACATTAGTCATATATATATATTGAAATATTAAAATTAGATAAATAAAATAATAAGTGAATAAATTATATAAATTAATTATTTAAATAAGCTTAATTATATAATTAATAATATAAGTTTGTTGATTTTGTATTTTTGATATATATATTTTTCACGTTAAGTATAAAAAATTGTTTGTATTGGAAATATAAAAATTAACAATTTGTTTTGAATTGTTATATTGTATTAATATGTATATATTGTATTGTTTTTAATAATATTCACAAAAAGTCGTTCCAGTGAAGAAAGCCATATATATCAATACATATCAATAAAAAAACTGAAATTTTAAATATGATAATTATAATACATTGTTTCGAAAAATTAAAAAAAAAAAAAAAAATCTTTTTACATTTTTCTCACGGCATAATCTTTCAATTTTTTATTATTTTTTAAACATTACATCCCAATATTTATTATTACTACAAAGTATTACTTTTAACAACAATTTTATCTTATATTGAAATTTAAACACAAAATGAACTAAAATATGAAAATTTAGAAAACTTCTTCATACTTATGTTGGTAGCGTTGAAAAGTTCAATGAGATGTTGTTCTAAACTCTGGCCCATTTACAAGTAAACTACAGGTTGGATTGTTGGGTAGTAGAGAAATTAAAAATAAATAAATAAAAAAAAAATTGAGTTCAAATAGTGGTAAATTGTAGATAAATTCCAAGTCTCTCAAAACTACCTTAAACTTTTTATTCCTTTTGTCTTCCCTAAAACTATTTATACATATATTTATATTATTTTTAACTCTAAAATATTATTTTTACCCCTGTTTATAAATTTACAAAATTACTATGCTCATTTCAAAATCTAATCACCTGTTTATATATATATATATATATTTTTTTTTTTGTCTTCAATTCTAGCTTAATTTGTACTTCGACGTACCGTCTTGCCTCACCTTTCGATCGAACCTGACCACCTGACCATCACGCCTGCCGCTCGCCGTTTGTTGCCACCCGCTAGACCATTATGCCCTACAATGGTTCACCTTCAAAAGAAATTGGATTTTAAGGTTTGTGTTATTCTACATTATGATTTTGAGTCAAAATATATCAATTCCTAAAGAATTATATTTGTTTTGTAGACCAACTTTTTGTAAAAGTACTTATTGCATACATTGGACTACCGACTAGCCATTTCCAAACTAGTTCTTATGTTTTCGCGCCAATGAGCCACGAGATAACGAAATGTGGAATTTTTGTGTGCTTGTGGGCTGAGTGTTATGTAATGACACCGAAGACACGAGGGAGAAAGTACAAGAAATAGTTGTCGTTGATGATTATCGGGCATTAATTGCAAAATGTATTCTTATTGTGGCCAAGCCTTGTTAGTAGGGTCAAGTTTAGTGAACTGGTGTTCTAAAGTACATTATTATGTAAATATTTTTTTCGTTGATTAAATGCTAAATGCAAATCGTTTGTCTCTTTCAATTGTGTTAAAATTTGGTTACGCAGTGCCAGCAAAAAATTTGTCATCGATTTCGCTAAAATCTATAATATTAGGTGCTAAAATATTTTAATTTACAAGCTAAACATGTAATATCAGACTCAAATTTTGCTGCTTTTCACGGAAACAATGCACGTTTTCACGAGTTTTTTATTCTTAGCCATGCATTTTTAGCGAAGACGGATCATGTTTCCGCGAGCTTGCAGAAACATGCTCGGTTTCTACTAAAAATAGTAAACTTCAATTTAAAGTATACATTTCTTCTAGCACAGGTACAAATTTGGGAAGATAGAAGTGCATGTTGATTCCTATGTAAGTATCAGTTTGGGCTTGAGTCGGTACTATTTTCCTCTATTGTATAACTCCTCACACTTAACCTTTATTCGTCATCGAATAAATTCAATTAATGAAACTAAACCTAAGTATTTTCTAAATAAAGACTCAATATTGTCGGCAATATCGACGGTGGTGTGTAAACGAATCTTAGCTAAAGTTCAGATCCTTAAGCCATTTACGCGATATTGCTCATCTACAAAGACTCTAAATTATGTCTCCCGAAATATTTTCAAACTTAAGTATTCGAAGTAGCTTCTAAAAATGATGCGACGACTCAAAACTTTAAATAAACCGCCATAATAAATCATAAATTAAGAAACAAGGCGGCCCGGTAGACATTGCTACCGGTAATAAATTAATTTCAATATTTTTTGCGACGATTTTCTTTTTTTTTTGCCAAGTCAAGTCAAGTCGCATATAAAGATAATCGGCATCCTCCTCACACTATTCGTTCGTCAATCGCATTTTTAAGGAAACTTAATTCATCCTCTCTGCTAACAAGCGCAGCTAAATAGACGAAAGTTCTAAAAATTAGACTAAGTATGAAATTAATGAAACGAAGGGGATATCAACCAACTTTATCAAAATCCGAATTTATACTCATATTCAAAAGAATTTCAATTTTATACATTATTTAATTTCAAACTCAAATTAAGTACAATGGAAATCGATTGACTCGACAAATAATATATTTCATAGCTAATTTAATTTTAAATAAATTAATTAAATATTATAAATAAAATAATTTAATTCAACATAAATTATACCACAATAAATTAAAAAAAACATAAATTAAAAATAAGTAAATATGAATAAATTTAAGCCAAAATAAATTAATTAGCACACATTATTTATTGTGGCTAAAAAAATACAGTCAATAAATAAATTAAAATATATCAATTAACTAAATATTCATCTGATTATCAAAAATAAATAATTATAGCAAGCTAAGCCAATTAAATAAGATTGCTTATATAAATATAAATAAATACTACAACAATAAAAATACTTTAAATTAAAATAGGCTTAAACAAAACAATTTTAAATTAAAAGTTACTATTATAAATAAATAAACAAACAAGCAATACTTTATATACTAAATGATCCTAATTAACTAACTAAATAATTAATTAATCAAGCGGAGACATACTATATTATCTAGATTAAACAAATGACACGGGCTAAAATCAAACACACAACTAGACTAAAAAACAAAAAAACTATCTCTCAACCAGCATATAGGTTGGAACAATTAAATAATTAACTGGCAATAATATTAATTAGTAAAATTAAGCAAACTAATTCTACACTAATCCAACCTAATTAGCAATTCATAATTATCAACACTAAGAGGGTCAATTAAATTAGATAATAACATAAATTAAAGCTATCTAAAGAAAGTTAAATAAAACTAGCAAATTCAAGCTAAGTCAGAAAAAAAAAAAAAAAAATGAAAAAAAGCAGCAAACAAGGCGCAACAATATGATATGCTAAACTAATATGGAATTACAACAAATCACATGAATAAACAAGCAGCAAATTTGAGTTGGAACTTATATTGCAACGATTAAAAAAATACAACTAATCTAACTAAACTAAAAGCAGATCTACAAAACAAGCTAGACTAGAGTAATCTAAGATAATGCTAAGCTAACATACAACACTATCAGAACACTGATTCACAGCAGAAAACTCACTATATCTAAACTGCATTTGACTAAACTATGTTAATAACGACTAGGTTACAACTAACTACTAACTAAAAAAACAGCACAATATAATCCAATATACAACATAAATTACAAAATGCTAACCTAATTTAACACACATAATACTACAAACAAAATTGAACTAAAACAGCATAATATCTAAAGCTAAAAACTACAGCAAAACAACTAATTAACAATATAGAATTGAACGAATCTAACTAATTAAGCAAACTAATTCTATACCTATCTCAACTAGTGCTAGCGGAACTAACTGGAAGCGACTAAGACTAACAACAAACTAACTATGCTAATTGTCTAACCATAACTAAGGATTAAACTAAGAAAAGTAACAACAACAAACTAATATATTACACAGCTTCTACACCATTAATCTGAAAATTATCCTAATCAACTAGATTTGTAACTACAGAAGCAATTATTCTACAAACCAACAAATTAGCAATCAATTAATAAGCCGGCATAAATAATCGATAAGGGAATAAAAAACTTCCCTGATTCATATCTTGCAGCCAGATTTTTTCAAAATTTTTGGTGGTGCCGATGACTTCCCTCCTCACACTTGAATTGTTGTTTGCCCTTGAACAACCTTGAGTAAGCTCGGGAGGGACTGCAATCAAAACAAGCATTATTTTCAGCAGCGAAAGATGAGATAAAGTCACATTATTTGTCAAAGAATTCAAGAGATAAAAGACAGTAAAACTCCCTTTTCAAAGTTACATAAGTCGTTCTTGCTTCGGAATTTTCAAAGCAGCCTCCTCCTCAGCGTCAATTCACCACCGAATGAATCTAAATTCAGATTTTGCAACCACCAGCAGCCAGGCCCGTTCTTGACCTTTATTAAGCCCGGGGTAAAATTAGAATATTGGACCCTTAAATATATTTCTTATATTATAATAATAATAATACTAATAATAATAATAATATAATATAATATAATATAATATATATTTTAATATAAATGTATTAATAAATTATTTTTTTATATATTAAAAGATCAAAATATAAATATAAAATTAATGTGACATATTTAGTATAACATAAAAAATAAAAATAAAAAATTTGATTTAATATTTTTTAAAGAAAATTTTTATAAACAATCAAAAGTCTTTAAAAGAAAATTTTCAAACAAAAATATTTATTAAGGGTTTGTTTCTTTTGATTGGTTTAGGGAAAATTTTGGTTTGAATTTAATATTAAAATAATGTTTGATGAAATATTTGTGAGAGAGAAACGCATAGTCCTAATAGTAAAAATTAGAAAGTTTAGATTAAATAAACAAACTCAATATTTATATAATACATAAATTTTTAAAACTACTACTAAAAAATATAATAAAATATACAAATTTAAAAATATAAATAAAAATAATAAGAACACAAAAATATTCTTCTATCATATCTTTTTAATTTTATATAATTCACAAAAAATATAAAATAATACCATTAAATAAACACACTAAAACATACAAATAAATAATTTAAAAATTAATGTAAAATTATTTATTTAAAAAATAATTATAAAATAAATTTTTTATTTAAATTTTATTTTATACATTCTACAAATAATAATAATAATAATAATAATATATTAATATATAGGAGTATATATATATTATTGGGCCCCTTTATGGGCCCCTAGAGGGAATGGGCCCTGACCAAGGGCCCGGCCTGTCAGCAGTTGTTGTATGCAAATTTTTATCGAATGCCCTCAATTATAAATCCTCAAATCAAATCAATCCAACATAACCTGCAATCAGCTCTTAGAAGTTGTTTGTGTCTTGTCTAATTTATCAATTAATCCTAAAATCATCATAAGAAATAAACTCACAACTCATCTTACTCAAATCTCCTAGACAGTTTGCAATTCACCAATCATATACCAATTATGTATACAAATTCGACAACTAAGTCCAATCTAAACTAAATCCAAATTCCAACATAATTTTAATCCTAATCACAACTACAATAAACATCAACAGGATGACATAATCCAATTAAGGAATTAAAGTCACAATCGAATCCCAAAACAGCCTTGCAAATTTTCAGAGTATTAGCATTATGTTCGAAATTAAGAAATTCGATCAAAATAGGCAAGAGAAGGTGAAATTGAGTAATACAATCTTTCCTCGCTGTTTACCACTTCTAGGTAAGATGAATGATGGTGGAATCAAAGGTAGTTAGAATTGGTCGATGCGGTGTTATCGATTTCACCGAACATAGTTGTCGGTTGGAGAATTTAGGGCGAAGGAATTGGGGAATTTACAGTGAAATGATTAGGGCTGAAAGAATTTTGCAAGAAATCAAGGCTAATTCGGTGATACAGGAAGGGAATTGGAGGCGATGATAAATTAGGGTGCTAGAAAAATCATAAGCGGAGCATCCCTCGTGAAAGAATCGCACGACCGGGAGAAAGAATTTGGGGAAATATATATATATATATATATAAATATAAATATAAATAAATCAATTTCTTTACCTAGACTAACCTATTATGAAGAGCTTTGAAATTCTTCTTACAAAATTGGGAATCAATTTTGCGCAGGGATTCTTCACTTGTGGAGCATTTAGGATTTTAGAAATTGATTCTGAGTTTTGCCCTAAATTGGGTGAAGAAGACGATAGGGATAGGGTTCAGCGTCTCACTTCAATTGAAGGAAAAATAGAAGATCGACTCTGCTTGTATAATTGCAGCTCCACTTGCGCCAGGCCCGCTCACTTCTCCCGCTTGTTTTCGCCGCTTCGCTTGCACACAGCTCGTACACGGAGACATTGACGCCGCTTCGCACACAGAGACATTGACGCTGCTTCGCTCGCAGTCACCGCGCTGCTTGCCATCACCGCTGGTTCACAACGATAGATATCTGCTTCTTCGGCTTCAAAATTTAATCTGAACAAACGAGCAGATCATCTTGAAAATCCATAATGAGAAAAAAAATAAAATTATCATTTTTTTATATAATTTTTTTTATTATATATGTATATAGGGGAGAAAGGGAGCAGCGGCTCCTAAACCTAATTTTTATTTATTCTAATTATTCTTATTATTATTAATTTTTTTATTATTGTTGATTTATCATTATAGTAATATTATTTATTATAATTTATTTATTATATATATAGTAAATATTATTATTATTTTTATTATTATATGATTATTACTATATGTATATTTGGAACAAAGCAGCGGAGGCCGCTGCCCAACGATTTATTATTTTTTTTTTTTTGAAATTTCTGATGTTCTCCGAAATATTTATGCCGTGCAGGTTTGATCCTTGAAGGATATCGCAATCTCGAAACCTACAAAGCATATCGCCGATGGATTAGATGTTCAAAATAAAATAAAATTCAATATTAAAATTAAATTAGCATTAAACTCAATATTTTCCAATTAAAACAAAGATACTAGGCTTATTCCCCTCCAACGGCGCCAAAATTTGATCGAAGATTTTTGGAAAGATTTAAAAATATCTTTTAAGATACAAAAAATGATATATGTATAAAATGAAAATTGTGTCGTGTGTGTTCGTGTAGTAACTCCAATATTCTTCATAAAAAATAAAAAAAATCTCTTTAACCGGTGAGTGTCCGGGTCGAACTCAGGGAATATGCGAATATCCTATATTTAATTAGAAAAAGTGCAATGAGTTAATGCAATTGAAGAAACTGAAAAGATAAATTGCAGAAATTAAATCTAACTAAAAAACGATAAAATATACGTATCTCGAAAAGGATGAAGCGAGGCATTTGTGTTTGAATTTTGCGTTCTTTAACGACTAGATTTCCATGGATGAAATGAACGGGATAACGATGGTGTGATAGCGAAAAATATATGTATAATTGCGGGGCAGCTCGGAGAAATGAGCGTGATCGCATTTGCTCGCTTAAACCGATTCTCGACTCGGTTGGTACTTGACCTTAGGGGATTTACAACGAGGCTTGAGCGACACTCGACGAAGAACATTATAAGGAATAAACTCTACTGTCACTAGAAATTTCTGTGACCCAATAGACCACCGCCTATGTCCCATGATTCTTCCAACCGTTCCGCTAGTGGCTCTATCCCTCTGATACCTCTCTTTAATCAGAATCGAATTCAGAACAGCAACTAAGCAGGTCGACAAGGCTCTCGCGTACTTAGCTACGTTGAACTACTCGGAATCTGTTTGTGACACGAAACAGGGCTGAAATAGTCGATTCTTCTATCGCCCTTCCGCAACCTTGTCGAAATCAAACTTGAACAATTCAAATCGAACATGAAATTTTTTGGTGAAGGTGAGATGAAGAAATATGATAGGAATTTTATTAGCTGAAATAATATGCAGGAATTAAAATAAAAAAGAGGAGAAAATCAGTTTGCTCGCGACACAAAACCGAAAATCTCGTATTATTAAACTAGATAAAAATATTGAAGAAAAGAAATGGAGAAAATGAAGTGTATGGAATGTATATTATTGTGTATATATATGGTGTATATGTGTGTGTATATGGTACAATTAGAGGGGATATTTATAGGGAGAAAAGCTTCTAGAAGCTTGGCGGTTACAACCGCCAATAAATAACTACTTCTAAACATAGTTACTAACTACCTCTACAAATAACCATAAATAACTAACTCTAAAAATAACTAGTAATATAACTACTAATGACTACCTATTTCTAGAAGGTTCTAGAATAAAAATTAAACAAAAATAGCAAAAAAATTGGCTAAAACGTAGTGCATAAATTTAATTAAGGGAGCTGGGAGAGTGTAGTAAATGTAGGAGCTGAGGGTGCAGGAGACATAAATGTAGCGAAATTCTGTGCAGAAATTATTGTGACGGCGCAGTAAATGCACCACTGACCAGCGGCAATTAATACAGCCGCTGCTGACCGGCGACAGTAATTGCAACCGTCGCTTGCTTTCCGTGCTCATAAATGCAGCCGCCGCTCATTTTCCGTGCTCGCGCACTCCTATGCAGCCGCCGCTCACGGAGTCCGCACCAGCCGCCATCGCTCACTTCCATGTATGGCCTTCCGCACTCATAAATGTATCCGCCGCTCACAGAGTAATGAACATAGAATTCCACTTCGCTCGAATTTCTGTGCAGCCGCCATCGCTTTCCGCACGGCCGTCATCACTTTATGTGCTCGGTCACTTTGTGCAGCCGCCGCTCACTTTTCACACCAGCCGCCACTTGATTCCGCGCTCGCGCCGCTTGATTCTGCGCTCGCTTGCTTTCCGCGCGGCCGCCGCTTGAATTTCGCGCAGCGGTTGACTTTGGCTTTCGCACATTGACCGTTGACTTTTGTTGACTTTCGCGCCGATGACTGTTTTTTCGCTTCTGAAGCCATTTTTTTCGCTTTTTAAGGCCATTTTTGAACTCTCATATCAGTTTTCAAGCATTATTTCACATATATAAATAATAAACATTTTACAAATATTTATTTAAATAAATAATAATAATTAAATAAAATTAATTTAGCCAAAAGTAAATAGTTAAATAGCACATAAATAATGCCTAAAAATATAATTCAAGAAACACATAAATTAATTTAATTTATTTATAAATTACACCTAAAAACTAAGAAATCGAAATTATACACACAAGATGAAATAAATGCAATTACTAGAGTAAATTAACATAAATAATACCAAAATTCGACATAAATAAATAAATAATTAAATAAATATAAGTTATAAAATATGACAAAATCAAGAGTTATCATAAGTACAACCCTCTGGGTGTCATTTTTTTCGAGCCAATTCGACCCCTTTAACTCAATCCACCAATGCTATATATAGAAAATAGTTTCTTTCCACGTGTCTCGGTAAATATGGCGACAAAGATGTTATAGGATTGTGAACGTCCAATTGGTTGAAATAGGACTTTCAAATGTAAGAGATTTTTCTTGTAATTTATGGGGGTATGTGCTCTTTGTTGAATTATACATATAGTTTAATTGAAATATGGTGCTGACACGCATAGAATATTGGTTTTGACCGCGAGTACACGTATTTTTTAGCGTAGGTACGGGTTTGGGAAGACACAAGTGCATGTTGATTCCTACGCAAGTAGCACTTTAAGCTTGAGTAGGTAATGTCTTCTTCCATTGTAGGTATAACCCTTCGCATGCCATTTTTTCGACCCGGTTCGACTCCCTTAACTCGATCCATCAATGCTACATATAGAAAATAGTTTTTTTCCATGTGTCTCTTTAAAGGTGGTGACGGAGATGTTATAGGATTGTGAACGCCCAATTGGCTTGAAATAAGACTTTCAAATGTAAGGATTTTTCTTGTAATTCTGGGGTATTTTCTCTTTGTTGAAGTATATATATATTTCTATCGGAATACGGTGCCGACACACATAGAATATCGGCTTTGTTCGCGAAGTACACATTTTTTATAGCACAGGTACAAGTTTGGAAAAACACATATGCATGTTGATTCCTACGTAGGTATCACTTTGGGCTTGAGTATGAATTGTCTTCCTCCATTTTAGGTATAACCCTCCGCGTACTATTTTTTCGAGCTGATTCGACTCCCTTAACTCGATCCAGCAATGCTACATATAGAAAATAGTTTCTGTCCTTATGTCTCGTGAAAGATGGTGACGGAGATATTATAGGATTGTGAACGCCCAGTTGGCTTGAAATTGGACTTTCAAATGTAAGAAGTTTCTCTTGTAATTTATGGGGTATGTGCTCTTTGTTGAAGTATACGTATAGTTCCATCGGAATACAGTGTCGAAACGCAGAAAATATCGGCTTTGACCGGGAAGTACACATTTCTTCTAGCACATGTATATGTTTAGGAAGATACAAGTGCACGTTGATTCCTACGTAGGTATCACTTAAAGCTTGAGTATGTATAGCTTTCCTCCATTATAGGTACAACTCTCCGTGTGCCATTTTTCGAGCCAGTTTCATATATTTTTTGTGTCATTAATATGTATATTTGTATGTACAATACTTACTTTTATGCATAAATATTCATCTATATATATATTACATTTATACTTGAGTAATATTTATAAACACATTTACTATTATCATATATTGTCGGGTATATTCCTAATATTTATATACAATACTTACATATACCTTTATATGTAAGATTACAAGTTTCACGTTTATATTTACATTTATATGTATGAAAATATCAACTTATTTTTACAATAAAAAATATATATTTTCATAAATACGTTAAATGCATAAGTATAATCTTTCCAAACACTAGGTAAAAGACACTTTTATTCTAAGTAAGAGATACTTCTATTCTAGGTATTATTTGATCTATTTTTAGGTACAACAACTTATTGTATTATATGTAATTTATGACACTCTTATACTAATTAAATATTTTGTGAAATAATAAGTTAAAACACTTAACCACCAATACACCACTCTAGTAGCCCCCATGTTGTTTCTATCCACCGGTGACGTCCGCCCAGGCCCGCGCCCACTGACACCCACCGTCGCCACTGCATCACCTATCATTGGCCCATCCGTCTCATCCCCGCCCATGGTCGTTGTTGATTCTCTTTGCACGAGTATAATATGGATTACAAGATGGAAACGGCTTTTAAGCGGATTTTAAGAGCGACAGAACCATGTCGCCCTTTACCCAATATTTTCATGAATGATGAAGAACCAAATGAAGAGAAAGTGCCTACTCTGCCAACAACTCGTGTGCGCAAAAATTCTGAGAGAGCCTCCAACAGAAGAGATACAAGTAATAGCACAACTTCAGTGCAACCTAACACCGGACGATGGTTAGAATGACTGCATGGCCAGATCAATTCAACGGAGCAGACAAATTTGAGCGCTAACCACATGCTCAGATCAATTATGAATAGGATGAATGCATCTCAGTTTTTGGGTGGAGATGAAGTTGGGACTTCGAGTTGATTTAGTTTTATTGTGTAATAATTGTACCTCTATTTTCGTATTTTAAATAATTCATGGTTATTTCAGAGTGATGATCTAGGGTTCAAAATTTAACCAAGCGTGGATTTATCTATATGCATTCTACATGTTTTGGTTCACAATTATATATGCATTTGATGAATTGGTTCTACCTAGAAATGTTTTTTAAAAAATTAATTGTTTCAAGTGAAAACATGTTGTGTTTCTGCGAGCTCGCGGAAACATAATTGTTTCCACTGAAAATAGAGATTTTTGACAGTATACATGCATATAGGTACATCTGATTAATCAATACATATAGGTAAAAATAGATACGTGTAAACATTACATATAATGCCTTATATTACACATGTTCTTCATTTTTCATAAACTAAAAAAGAATTTACTTACCATTACGAACAAAGATTGATGTTCTGGTATGTTACAATTTATAAATAATACCAAAATATATCTTTTTATGAACAAAAAGGAGTTTTCAATAGGAATCTACAAATGAGTTTCCTTGCAAGTTCAACGGTTATGTCCGATTCTACTACAACTTTTGCTTATTTTAAATTGAATATCACTTTTGATGAAATTCTTTTCGTTCTTCCTTTACCTAGCATCTCTATATTATAGTAAAAAAACATATAAAAAAAATCAACATGCTATTAAAACACATTAACCCTGAAAATCTTTTAAAAACAACAAATAAAAAGTATAAAAACTTACCAATAAATTAGATTTCAAGTGTAGAGAATACTCTATTGATAGGAGAAAAGCCACGAAGTAGTTACAGTGGAAACCTAATGCAAAAAACTACTAGAGCTTGCGACTTCTTATTAACGGAATTTTCCAACGGTGAGAAATTTTACTTTTTTAGGTTTGTTTAAATTTGTATATTGAGGACATATAAGTATTTTATTATAGTAGGGACATTTAAGTCATTTTAATAATAATAAGAGTTGAAAGAAAAAAATTATTTAGAATGGAGAGTTAATAGAAAAAAAAAAATTAACAGTAAAGAGTTATAAGGAAATTGACTTGATTAAAGCGATTTAAGTGGAAGACGTTTTTAAAATAGTATTACTTATCTCATTATTTCTTTGTAAAATACAAAGGAATGGATAAAAAATTTTATAACGGAAGCAGTACTTGTTAATGTAATATAAATAATTATTCCGTTGGTCCACTTTATATATATATATTCTTTTGCTGGTTGTACAAACAAAAATATTCATTTTTTTTTTGTAAATATGAATTCAATACATATATTTTTACATTTACACGTATTTACATTAATATATTCACAATAATTTTTTATATCATAAATGTAAAATAGTCTTTAAATATTTACAAATTTATCACGAAGTATTATTAAAATATAATATTTATTAAACTTCGTGAAAAATTAAGTATATATTTATAAAATAGACGAATAAAGTATTTAGTATGATATTCAAAATAAAAATTTAATCTTCTAGATAATATATTAAATAAATAAATGTTTAATTAATTTGATAATTTTAAGAGATAAAGAAACGAATTTTGGTATCTCCTGATGTTGATTAAATTTCAGGAACATTCTGAATTATTTTAGTCCGTTGGATTGTTTTTATTGGCAATCTAACGATTGAGTTTGATTGAGGGTATTTTGGTAATTGAAAAAATTAATTAAGATATTTAATTAAAAAAAATCAATTAGAAAAAATTATCGTAACTACCTCCGATAATTTCGGGATTAAGTTTTTTTTTAAACAAACAAAAACGTTTCCCAAGTAATTACTTTCAAAATTGTATACACTCAAGTTATAATGATGTATACATCATCCCAAAATGATGTCTCTATGATACTATTATGATAATCTACTACGAAATACCTTTCTTATATAACAAAAACGTTTCCCAAGTAATTACTTTCAAAATTGTATACACTCAAGTTATAATGATATATACATCATCCCAAAATGATGTCTCTATGATACTATATGATATTCTACCACGAAATTGCACTTCTCCTTTCTTAATTTGATTGCTTAAATCAGATGTAAGAAACCCAAGTGTTTCTTTATTTCCAGTTGCTAATCTCAACACATCATATGATGATTTTAAGGAAAGGTCTGTCTCTTTATTAATTGTAGCTACAGTCATCTGAGCGTCATCTACGGCCCTATTCGAAATAAGCATATGTGCATAGTTAGGAGGATGCAGTTCATGGTTATGCTCGTCCACATATTCGGTGACGATGTATCTCTGCATTTGTTCGTCGAATTGTAACGTCAATCTTGCTTCACACCCAGTACGCGTCTCGTACCTTTTTCTTAACATGGATGTATATGACGGAGCGCCAACACCCTCTGAAGATATTCGTTTATTATTAGGCTCTACTCTACTGCCCTTTTTGTACCCCTCTTTATTGCAACAATAATGAATGTATTGCACACGATGAGGATCAATTTTTGCTTTTTTTTGCATTTGTTTTCGCACGGAAAATCCTCGTATATGTTTGTATCTACAATATGACCCGTACGCATCGTCGGAAGTCGAAAAAGTTGCACTAGCCCAATAATCGTCACCTGGTTAATCAAATGATATTTGACGTTAAAATGTATGATGTCTCTAGTAGTTTATTATGGTTTATGAAACATTGTATTATAATGTTGCTCCAGTGCAAATATTGAGTAACTAAACCTACCTTCCTCTTTTTGTGCATTATATGACTGGGTAAATATTCTATATGTGTTTGAGGTATTAAAATAATAAAAAATAATAATGGATATGATTTAATATGGGGACTGCCCCAACTCGTCCAACTACCCATAATTTTAGGATGTTGACCTTAATTTCAAAGACAATCTAGTATAATTCAACACTTCTCAATTTTGATAAAGTGTGATTTTGTTTACCGTATTGGTTACAGATATGATTTTATATATCAATCGAATAATTTATATTAGAAAATTAACATTTTTGAATTAGCACTTACATAACTTCTATAAATTGATTCAATTAATGTTAACTGCAACTATTGTTATGGTGAATGACTAATATGATTATAATGCATATATATTTAGAATACGATGCTAATAAAGTAGGGATATGATGTAACAAAAATTCGTCAAAACGTTACTCTCGCGATCGATAAAAAATAGAAAACACTTATTGCATTCTGCAATTTTTGGAACGCTATATTCATCTGCGTCACACTGGAACTGAGTGGAATACGCATCAATTTGCTTCATCCTATTATACGCTCCCGTTTCTCCACTATTTATTTTCTTCGATGGACATCGGTGAAAAAAAATAGAGTTACTTTTTTTTTCTTTTGGATGTGAAGCGACTAAAATTATGAATACGATCTGCATTTATCTCTATTTATATTTTCTTAATTTATGTTAAAACAAAATATTGATTTATTAATTATTAAAATCAAATTACATATCTACCCCTGATTGCAATCTCAACCGTTAATTAAATTTTGACCAAACGGTTGATATTTTTTCAGGATGATCCTGAATATTGTATTCAGGGCCATACCGGGATTGTAAAGAAATAGGAACAAGATTCCAACCGAGAAGCTATGGGCTGTTTGGTTGTTATTTCATTTTAAAATTACTATTATTATGGTTTTCAATCCAAATATATTTTCTTTATTCTTGGTAAAATTATACAATGTATATATATATATATTTTTTTTTAAGTAAGTGTGGACTTTACTATTCAATATAAATACGCATACATTTTTATATATTTATCAATTATACCATTATTTTTATATTAAGAAATAAAGATAAAAATATTTTTATATTATTTTTAATTGTCAATTACAATTAAAATACTATTAATTTCATCTGTGACCTCAAGGGAAATGAGTATTATTTTCTTTACAAAATATCGTATCAAAGTTAAATTAACTCAAACGACAACCAAACAAATTGATTGTTATTGTATAAAAAGTTAATTAAAAAAAAAAAAAAAAAGATCTGGCATTTTGAAATTCCTCGGATTGTATATAATTCTTCCGTCTCAAAACTATAGTTTCAGTTGTATTCGGCACGAGATTTAAGGAATATTGATATTATATTGGTAGTGGGTAAAAAATATAGGTAAAAGAATTTTTTGCCATTGTGAGTGTATTAGTGTAAAATAATAATGAAAAAATAAAGGTAATTTTACAGTGATATGGTTATTTATCAAAATGAGACTATTGTTTTAAAACGGACAAAAATGATAAACAAGACTATTGGGACGGAGCGAGTATAATTCAATTGGTGTAATTGAATAATTGTAACAATAATGATATCGGTGATGAGTGCACTTAGCATTCTCATTCACATTCCGATTCTATATATTCATAGTGACATAGTAGAAGTCGTTGTTGGTAATAACAAAATTAAAATAATTATTGTAAGGGACAGTGATAATAAGGTAGCGCTGAGCGGTGGCCTAATTGATTCTACACTCCCAAACATCATTCCAAACATGTCGCCGTCTCCGCCGCTGCCGCCGTAGCCGTAATTGGCCCCACCACCACCGCCGCCGCCGGACCCTCCCCCATATGACATGCTTACGCTGTTGTCCCTACATCCATTACCACATTTAAATATTAATTAATAATTAAAATAAGCAAATACAGAAAGTTACTACTATTGATTGTTTGAATTTTGAGGTTGTTAACGATGTACTCCCTACATATCAGATACCATGTCCACGTTGCCATTTCTATCCGTCTCATGTACTATATCATTTTCCTTTTTTAGAAAATGATTATACACTTTAATCTTATTTTAAATTTTTTAATTTTATTTCTTTAATTTTAATTAAACTAATTAGTTATTTTAATCTTAATTTATAATTATTTATATTATAGGATAATTATTTTCACTAATATATTCTTAATTATCTACTAATTATACCCCTCCTAAAATACCGTGTCTACAGTACAGCAGACACGGTATCTGGGACGGAGGAAGTATTTATTTATTTTCCAAGTTAGGCGAGGGATATATGTAATTAGATATATACTACACCTCTGTCCCACGTAAGTATTAGTAAAAATAATTATTTTATAATAAAAATTAATAATAAATTAAAGTTAATATAACTAAATACTTTAATTAAGATTAAAAAAAATTATAAATAGTAAATTTTAAAATGTCATTAAAGTGTAATACTCCCCGCGTTTTACAAGAAGAGCATCGTTTGCTTTTTTGCACGTAGATTTTTTAATATTAGTACTCTCCCTATCCCACTAAAATGTTGTCATTCTCTATTTTTGTCCGTCCCAAAACAACATTACTATTTCATAATTTAGTAATTGTATTACTTAACTAACATAATAAATACCCTTCCAACTTACGCTATATTACACAATTGTCATTACCTTTTATATTACAAAATACTAATAAGGGTATTTTCGTCTTTTTCACTACAACTCAATATAATACTAATATTAAAAAATCTACGTGCAAAAAGTAAACGGTAACCTTGTTCTGGGACGGAGGGAGTATTATATTAGTTTGTAATAAAAAAAACGAAAATGCCTCTATTATTATGGTGTGTTCACTACAAGAAATTATCAATTTTGTAACGATATTTTTTCGTTCCTAAATTCACTTTTTCCGTTACTAATGATATTAGAGACGGAATTAGAGATGAAATTACGTTAGCTACGTGAACTTTAGGAACGGAATTCCGTTACAAATATACTATTTTTTTGTAGTGGTTATAAAAGTGATGACATTTGTGTAATATATTATAAGTTGTAAGGTTATTTATTATGTTAGGTAAGTAGTATAATTACTAAATTAGAAAATAATACTATTGTCTTTTCGACGAACAAAAATTGAAAATATTACAATTTTTATGGAACAGAAAAAGTATTATATTTTTTTTTTAAAAAAATAAATTAGGTAAGACAAATCGAAGTATATGAAAAAAGAAATATTAAAATTAAAATTGAGGATGGAATAAAGTAATCCACGTCAGCCTAGCAAGTTGGGGATAGCTGTTGATATTTCCCATCAGGACAGACAAATAAAGCTACAAAAGTCATATGTTAATGAACTACCTATTTAATTTAATTTAATTTTGCTACAAAAGTCATATGTTAATGAACTACCTATTTAATTTAATTTAATTTTGCTACAAAAGTCATATGTTAATGAACTACCTATTTAATTTAATTTAATTTTGCTACAAAAGTCATATGTTAATGAACTACCTATTTAATTTAATTTAATTTTGCTACAAAAGTCATATGTTAATGAACTACCTATTTAATTTAATTTAATTTTGCTACAAAAGTCATATGTTAATGAACTACCTATTTAATTTAATTTAATTTTGCTACAAAAGTCATATGTTAATGAACTACCTATTTAATTTAATTTAATTTTAATTAATTGTCAGTTGCCTAAATTTACGGGACTAAATTAAAGCATGTGCCATCCATCTAATTATCTAAACTTTTATGTTTCTTGTGTAATTTTTTTCAAATTTTAGTATTTGGGGCATATGTTTTCAAAAAAATATATGTATACATTTTTTACAAAATATCTAATAATATTTTAATATTATTTTAATATAAAATATAAATTAATAATAATAATAAGGTAAAATTGCTTATAACTCCCACGTAGTTTCGAAATTCAGCGTAATATTTTTCTGTACTTTAAAAATTGCATGATACCCCCTTATACTTTAAAAAATGTTGCATGAAACTCCACCACCGTGAAACTTTCCTCATGTGATAAGAAGATGATTTTATATCTAGATGTTTTGCATGATAGGGGGGTTTTATGCAATATTTTTAAAAGTATAAGTGAGCGTCATGTAATTTTTTAAAGTAAAATGGAGATTTATGCTGAGTTTTGAAACCACAAAGTAGTTTCATATAATATTTTTTAAAGTATAAGATGACGTCATACAATTTTTAAAGTAAAAAAAAATTTACGCTGAGTTTCGAAACCACAAGAAAATTATGGACAATTTTGCTTAATAATAATAATAATAGCAATAATTATTATTATTATTGCTATTATTATTATTATTATTGCCCCTCCTACTCTATGAATATGACGTGATTCAGACATTAATTAAAGAAAGGAGTAGGACCCATTGAGTAAGAAAATTTCTTCAGGTCACTCCTCACGCCCCTAATTAATTTATTTATTTATGGGACTAATTAGAAAGGCTGATGATTAATTTTCATATTCAACGTCTATATAAATATGTTAGTTGTACTACGACTAAATAAAGTATACTACTCACTATAAATATATATATATATATATATATCCCTACCCTCTTTTGGTTCCTCTCTTTCAGAGCCAAAACACAAATTAAATTAAAGGCCAAAGATCACGTAGAAATGTTAACGGGGCGGGTTCGGACGAGTTTTGTAGACCCCAATACCCGCTTTGCTAAAAAATACTATTAGGATCCAAGATCTGCCTTGCTCCGCCTCAACCTAGTCCCAGGAGACCCGCTTTGCGAAAAATACTATTAGGATCCAAGATCTGCCTTGCCCCCCCAACCTAGTCCCAGAATCCGTCCTGTCCGAACCCTCCGGGTTTGGGGCCAATTCATCAAATTTGTTTTTATTTTAAAAAGAAAAAAAATACCATATATATTTTTAAAAAAAATAATTTAATTCTAAAAAAGCATATGCGTCAAAGTACAAAAAAATATAATTCTAAAAATAAGAACAATGTTCGCATTGATGACGGTTAATAATAGTCCCCATTATAAAGACAATCTTAGAAAGAACAAATACGAAGACAAATTTGATTTAGAATTAAAATTTTATTTTATGTTTTAAATATTTTAAATAAATAAATAATTATATTATATTATATAAAAATATAAATAAATTATAATAAATATCCAAGCTCGGGTCCAGGGAGAGGCGGATTTTTAGTAAAATCCATAACTCGCTCCGAACCCGGTTGGGCTTAAAACTCAAAATTCACGACCCGCTTCAGGCCAAACTTTTTAGACCTGGACCCGCTCCATTAAAATGGGATCCGGAGCTATCCCACCCATTTCACATCACTAAACATGAGTCAGCCAAACACAGTAGTGTTACTATACATAATAATATTTTAAAAAATTAAATAAAAAAATGATTAAGTTTAGTTTAAGGGGTGGACATAATATAGACCACCCACCAAATTAATTATTTAAAACAACTAATATGTATATAGTATTATTTTATTTTATTTAAATACACGCTGTAAACCACCTAACTTAACCATTCGTACATACTTAAGCTCTGTTATATATGCATTTCTTAAAATTGTACTATTATTTAATAATAATTATTATTTTTTAAATAAATTGTTATGTCAAAACCTTAATATTTTTTTTTTCTTCAAATTAAAATTTAACTTTTTAATTTTTTTATTAATTTCAAGAAATCAATTTTATTTACTCAGCCATACTCTCACAGGGACCCACATTATCCGCAAATAAAAAAAAATAAATATAGTGTGCGAGAGAGTAAAAAAATATATTTTATATGATATTTTAAAAAAAAAAAATAAATAATATTAAATGAGTGAAATTGTACTGTATAAACAAAGTATAAAATTTTTTAAAATTAAAATAATTTTTTTATATAAAAAATAAATAATTGATTTGGATACGCGCTCACACGTAGGCTAAAGTTGATGTTTTTGGTGTGGACGAAGTTGAAAGAAAGCGACCCATAAATAAAGATTCCGATATATATATATATATATATTAAAAGACATTTACACCCCCGTACTAAAGTTATCTACTTACATATATACATACATGTGCTGTATACATGCATGTCTTGTGTGCCCTCACAAGATTCTTCTACTCAGATTTTTATTTTTATTTTTATTTTTTTGAGTTTATGCTAAAGATATGTAGGGATTATATGGAGCCATGTTGTAAAATGTGCATCTTTTTAGGGTTTGGTCTTTTTATCTTTTTCACTTTTGAACTTGAATAAATTGTTTGAATGCGACATTTTATCATAGAAATTTACAATAGTATAATATACTAAAATCAAACTAAAAAGGAAAAGGAAAAAAAAAAAAAAAAAACTCCATGTTTCTAAGATTTGATATGAGTTAAAAATAATTTTTTTTAATATAATATAAACAGATATTATCTCCGTCCGGCTCTAAGGGTCCTATTTACTTTTTACGTATTGATATTTGAATATTAATTATTATATCAAAACATAGAACAAATTAAAAAAAAATTGTAAAAATAGTGTCTTCTAATACTAATAGAAGGACATTTGTACAAAAAAAATTATACAAATATAAGAAGATTTTTAATGTTAAGTAGAATAATGCAAAAGGTAAGTGACCCTTAGAGGCGGATGGATTTGATACAATATTTTAAACTAAAAATATAGGAGTAATTTTTATACTATAATGTATTAAATAAAAATAAATATTTAATTTTAAGATTTTAAGAAAAATTCTTTCTTTTTAATGAATAATACAAAACAAAACACAAATTTTAAAGATATAGACTCTATGTGACTAAAAAATGACTTCAACATGAAGTGTGTTCGTTTTTTTTGGACAGGTGATCCCACGATGTTTTGGTTGTGTTTGAATATAGAGTTTGAATTTAAATAGTAATATTTTGCATATAAGTAAGTATCAATATGATATTTTAAATATAAAATTAATTTTAATATTATATAAAAAAATATTAAGTATTTGATTTGATATTTTTTTAATAAAAAAATTTATTAATAGTAAAAGTGCACCAAAATCTTTGAAACAACCACTGGTCGATAATTTCTTCTTTTTTTTTCCCAATACATGAAAAAGGAAATTAGCATTTGTATGGTTTTAAGTTTGGAAGTTGTGTATGAGATTTTGAATAATCAAATTGTGAATGTATATTGTTAATATAAATAAGTATTTATTTGATATTTTGATTGTAAAACTAATTTTTAGTATAATATAAAATAATATATATTTAATTTAATATGTTTTTTTAAAAATTAATAAATAGTAAATTTTAAGTTTAAAACTCACAAACAAACACAATAGAATTCGCTAAAAAACAATCCTAACAAATTCAAACTCCCTTACATAATTGTGTTAGCTTGAGCTTGAGATTAAAAACCTCGAGCCCAATTTGAAACATATATACTTGACTCGCTACACCTGTTATACTACCTTCGTCCACTATTTATTTATTTATCTTTTTATTTTGATATATCCATAATCAATCTATCAATTTCTTTTATTATACTTGTACTTTCCATTTAAATTTAAAATGGCTCGAGTTTACATAAAAATTACAAAAATGCTATATATATATATAAAAAAAAAATGGATTTAGGGGTAATTTTTTTTTTTTTTTAATCCTTCTATTATAATATTTACCTATAAAATATTTTAAAATCTACGGGTAAATAAACAGGTAGCGAATTGAAAAAATAATAACTATGCATGTATGCATGAAGTGATGCATATATTGTTTCTATGTATGTAATATTAATGTACCTTTGGCCACCAAGAACTCCAGCGTTAAGTGTGAGTTGGTCGATAAGGGCTGCCGGCCTTGCGTCAACACTTGTGGCTTTGGCGTATTGCATGCCAAGCCCCGCCCCCGACGGCACAAAGAATGCACCATTTACCATTAGGTCGCCATCCGTCCGCCAATTCCAATCCGACCACTCCCCCTCGTCGGTGTCTACGCGCTTCGTAACCTATGATGGAACCCTTAATCATATTATTAGCTCTTTATATATGAACTAATCCTATACATTACGATCTTCATTTATTAAATTTTAAGTTAATTACTCTCTCTGTCCACCTTTAAGAGTCACATTTACTTTTTGTGTCATTGTACTTAACATTAAAAATATCCTTATATTTGTATAAGTTTTTATACAAATTTTATTCTATTAGTATTATAAGATACTAAGTGAAGTATGTTTAGAATTTTTTCTTAATTTATATTACGTTTTGATATAATAATTAGTATTCAAATATCAATATGCAAAAAGTAAATGAAACCCCTTAGAGTCGTACAGAGGTAGTAAGAAATATTTGAATTTAGTATCGCACTGTTGATTATTCCTTGCAATCAAACCAGCAAATGAAAACCCTAAAATTCATATGATATGTTATACAAAAATATGTATATATATATCAAAATTTCATTCAATTAATTATATCAAATACTTATTTATATCATGTTAAATAACTTTAAAGAGATGGACAGTCTATTTTCATATGCATATTAATTAATATTGTTAGATGGTCGGAATGACCGTCTCACCTAAAACATGACCTAAGGCTATGATACCATTTAGATCATCTGAACGATTATCTCATCCAAAAGTTTAAGTTGTTAGAAATACATATTTTTAATTTATCTAAATATGGGAGTCAACCGACATGCCTCTCAGGTGCAAAGAGATATATGCGAGTCTTGCACGTGAATGTATCTTACACATGAGAGATGCATGCTAGTTGACTTCCCGTACGTAGATAAATTAATGATACGTATCCTTAACAGTTTAAACTTTTAGGTGAGACAATCTCCAATTCTCTACAAATATTAATTATTTTTCAATGTATACATACAAATTTAATATAATGAGTGGTGATAGAATATGAAAGCTATGTTTACATACCTATAAAAATTAATTTTTGATAATATTCATCTATGACATTATTTTTTAAGAATATCATATGAAATATATGTTTATCTCGCACTACATTATATACTAACTTTTTACTGTTAAAAAATTAAAACTCAAACTTTCAAAAGCCATATCTAAACAAAGTCGAAGTATTTTTCGGAATCTTGAGTACAAAGATCTTTCTTCTTTAATATTCTACTATTTATTTATTTTTCATAAAGCTACACATGCATGTTAGAGCAAAATCTAAAAACATTTATTGCATTTAGAAGAAGAGTTAAGTAAAAAACAAAAGGATATATATCAGCATCTAAAGAAATGGATCCATCGGGTCCACAATTTATACGTATACGACCATGGCTTCTATAATGTATTGCCTTGTACATACAAATATATACACATCACTCTCAACCAACAAATTAATTAATTAATTAATTAATTGACCCCTATTCCCTAGCTATTATTATTATTATTATTATTATTATTATTATTATTATTATTATTGTTGTTGTTGTTGTTGTTACAATAATGCTATATGATAATAATGTAGAGGCTACAAAAATCCATATTAATATAATACAACAAACTAGTTGCCTCTAATTTCACGTGCATTATATATGTATATATGTATATATACATATATGTATATATGTATAAAGTGCTTTCTATTCCATGACCTTCGATTTCACTTACAAAAATTTCATTAATTTATTATTATTATTATTACTTTGTCCTTCAAAACTTTTTAAATATAGAACCAAAATATAATTTATAAAAAATATATATATTATATATATAGTCACATAAAAACAAGATTAAAAATATTTTACATATAGGACCAAAATATAATTTATAAAAAATATATATTATATATATATATATAGCCACATAAAAACAAGATTAAATATACAAACTTGCATATAATATACATTAATTAGATTAATTTTGTTTTACCTCCTTAGCATTAGGATCCAGAGGAGCTATGTAGCGATTGCCCTGACTGTTAATGGTGGGGTTTGCACTTCCCCCAATTGCATACATTTCCCACTCTGTGAAATCATTGTTCACCACATGAATATATCCCCGCCGGCATCGGGGCATCCTCTGCACCAATCCCTTCCCAAAATGGTTGAATGCTATCGTCACCTATACATACACATATACATACAGATTTCATATTCATATATCTTAAATCTTCAATTTATAGATTAGATTCGATTTCTTTCATCGGACCTGCATGCCGGAGTCCGGCAAGTACTTGTCGTTGTGGCCAAGCAGCATCACCTCGTCGTGGTGGGTGAAGTAGCTGTTGGAAATGGTGATCGCCGTCGACCCCATGATGGCGTCGATCAGGCCGTCGGTGCAGTGGGAGAGGGCGCAGTGATCGATCCATATGTGGTGGGAGGAGTAGATCGATATCCCGTCGCCGTCGGACATTCCCCGCCGGCCGGCGTGGCTCGGACTCGACCGGACCATCGTGTTCCCCGACGGCAGGCAGTTGTAGATATGGACGTTGTGGATTATCACGTGACTCACGAATTGGAGCGTGATGCAGCCGTTTCCGGTGATCCGTACGTCGGCGCCGCGGCCGTCGACGGTTTTGTAGCTGTTGAATATCAGCTCGTGCTGGAGCTTGATCACCATGCTCGACTCGAATATTATCCAGAGCGGTTCGTCTTGGATCACGGCGTGCCGGAGAGTTCCCGGAACCGGGTTCGCCGCGTCCCGGTCCGACGAGTCGGTCACTACGTAGAACCGGCCGCCCTTCCCCCCGGCGGCGCCGCGGCCGAAGCCGATGGCGCAGTCGGCTAGGCGCTGGCGGCTCTCCGCCCAGTTTGGGTCGCAGCGCCAGCAGTCGTCGATGGGGTTTCCGGTCAGGCATTCAGGCTGGCCGATCACCGGCGCGGCGTAGAGGAGGTGGCGCCGCCGTGTCACTGAAGCATTGACGCTCCTGCCGTCGGAAAATTCAAAAAAAAAATTAGAAATTGGTTGCCTTAACGGGCCCAGGATGGGGAGAATTCAACGAATTAAATACAATCGACAAAAAACTCAATAGGTAGGTACAAAATAGGTCCACATTAGATATTTTTATTCAAAAAGCAAAACCGCCATGGGAGGAGCTGGAGCTGGAGCTGGAGAAGAAACCCAAATTGGAGGCAAATATATGAAATTCCGCCATTGATGAGGACCAAGGTCTGATTCCAAGCTCATTTAATTTCATTTACACACTTGACACAGTTGTCTCACCTCTGCACTTGTTGAACAACTTCTTCGGGGTAGGGGTGTTGATGCAGAAGGCTGAGATTGCCTAATAAATTGGCTGTAACAACAAAAGAAAAGATCGAGAAAAGGAAGAAGAAGAAGAAGAAGAAGGGAATGTTGGGGTAGGGAAGCATTATGGATAATGGGTGCAGGCAGAGAGACAAATAGGAAGGAATTAATTGTGTGTGGGAAGGAAGTAAAGAAGGGAAAAAGAGTATATGAAATTTTATTTTTTTAAAAATATTAAAAAAAATAAAAATTGTTTATGGTATTAATCATGTGTTTCTTGTAAGCTGGTGGTAAGCAAGGAAGCGATTTCTTCCTTGTGAGATGGAGATTAATATTGGGAACAAACAAATCACAATAAGAATATTTAGCAGCAGTAATTAAATTGTGAGGAAAGTGGGATTATTGGGAGGAGTATTGTTCTTTCTTTTCTTGGATTCAATTCAATTGACTTTCTCAGCATCAACAAGAAGAAGAAGAAGAAGATCAGGATGAAAAAGAAAGAAAGGATATGGTATATAGAGAGAGAGAGAGAAAGGAGAAAGAACAGAGAATTTTTTGCAGGGGGATCCCCTGGGGTGGGGTGGGGTGGGGTGGCTCCTCACATTCCAATCTTGCTACCTAAATATTCCATGGGGATAGGATAGCCATTTCTAGGAAGGATTAAAAATAATAATAATAATAAAGTAGGAAGTCGAAAAGGAAAAGGAAAAGGGGAAGAAGATTTGTCAAAAAGATTAAAAATAATAATAATGATTTTGTTTTTTAGTTTGGGGATAGGCTCCCTCCTTCTCTTCTCTTTCTTAATTTGTGCACAATTTCCAATAAGATTGCGCTGTGCTGCGGCGGTGGCAGCTCTGACAGTTGATTTGTACTCTTCCGTGCGGTCGAAATGGTCCATTTTATTTAGAAATACGGTATTTTATTTCAAGGTAATATAGATTAGTCGGGTAATATTCCCTCGCTCTCAAAACTATTGTCTGAATTGCGTCTGGCACGAGAGTAAAAAGTATGGATAAAAGATTTTTTTTGATTTTACGAGTGTATTAGTATAAAAAATAGTGGCAATTATATAATAATAATAAAAAAATAAGGATAATTTTATAGTGATATGATTATTTATGGAAATAAGACTATTATTTTGGAACGGATAAAATTATAAACATGACTATTGTATTAGGACGGAATGAGTAGTAGATTAAGATACTCCCTCCGTCCCGTTGGAAGGATAATGTTTGATTTTTACACGTAGATTTTTTAATATTAGTATTATATTATATTCTAGTAAAAAAGACAAAAAATATCCTTATTAATATGGTGTAATATAAGAGTAATGACATTTCTATAATATATTCTAAGTTGAAAGGGTATTTATTATGTTAAGTATGTAGTACAATTATTAAATTAAGAAATGATAACCTTGTTTTGGGACGGACGAAAATAGAAAATGGTAACCTTTCAATGGGACAGACGAAAATGAAAAATGGAAATCTTTCAATGGGACAGAAGAAAATGAAAAATGGTAACCTTTCAATGGGACGGAAGGAGTACTATTTTCATACAAGTTTAAGGTTTCATTTACTTTTTGTCTGTTAATATTTGAATATTAATTATTATATCAAAATATAGTACACATTTAAAAAATTGTAAAAAATATTTTTATTAGTTTCTTATAATACTAATGAACATTTGTAAAAAAAGAAAAGTATATAAATATTTTTAATATTAAATATAATGACGCAAAAGTTAAATGTGACCCATGCGGACGAACGAAATATTATTTTATTATTTTTTATATAAGTAATATCTTTTATATTTTAAATATTTTTAATTTTATATTTCAATAAAATATATACCGTATGAATATCAGTTTATAGAAAATAAAATTTTATACTGTCTCGGCTATTGTGTCTCATTTACCGTAGATACGATAAAGAGTAATATAATTAGTAAATGAAGTAACTAAGAATGTATTAATAAAAAATAATTATCATATAATAAAAATAATTTTAAATTAAGACTAAAATAACTAATTAGTCTAATTCAAATTAAAAAAGTTTAAATTAAAAAATTTAAAATAAGATTAAAAAGTATTTTTTTCAAAACAGAGAAAGTAGCAGAATAAGTGGGACAAACAAAAATATAAATATAAATACTGTAAGCAGGACGGAAGGAGTAATATACAAATATGAAAATTTATTTATTTATTTAAAATTAACTTAAAGCTAATTTTATATAATACAAAGATTTTTAAATATAAATAAAAAAAATATTTGTTTATTAAGAAGATAAATAGAACTAAAAAAGCTTTGAGTGAATATTATGTCTAATAGTTTAAAATTTTAATTAAATTGATTTATATTTATAAAATAAATTTAAAATAAATAAATTTACTATAAATAAAAAAAAAATCTTTTATATGATAGACAAAAAAGAAAGGAAATTGAATCATTCGGTCGAAACGGAGGAAGTAATATACTGTATTACAATAAAAATTTTACTTATTAATATCTGGTGCGATATGGATGCTGAAAAGTAGTCGCCATATTTGATTAACTCATTACCCAAATATTAAGATTGCATTAGCCATCACATCTCAAGCTTTAAATCCTTAATTTTGCAGTAATAGATTTGCATACTGCCCTGCCTCGACTCTCACTTATGTGCGTGTATATATATATATATATATATATAGTGATTTATTAGGGACGTCGACGGAGCGGGTTCGGGACGGATTCTACAGGCCTCGAGACCCGCTCCGTTAGAAAATATTAGGCTGCGAGATCCGCTCCGCTTCCACCCGGCCCCAGGATCCGCACCGCTCCGAACCCGGCAAATCCGTTTTTTTAAAAAATATATAATAATAAATATTTTTTAAAAAATTGAATACTAAAACAAATAACATTAAAAACACAAAAAAAAATCTAAAAACAATCAAATATTGATCCATAAAAATAAGATAAATAAATAAATAATATATTTTTATTATATAAATATACATATATTAGGTATAATAATTTTGAAAAATTATTTGGAGTAGACTACTAATTGAATTTTATATTTAAAATTATTTAAGTAAATAAATAATATATTTTTATTATATAAATATACATATATATTAGTTATAATAATTTGAAGAAATATCCGGGTTCGGGTCCGGGTCCGGATTGGGGCGGGTTTTTAGTAAAACCCGTAACCCGCCCCGAACCCGGCCGGGTTTAAAATTTTAAATCCACAACTCGCCCCGAAATATATTATTTAGACCCGAACCCGCCCCATTAAGAGCGGGTCTGAGGCGGGTTCGGGGCTAACCCGCCCCATTTGACATCCCTATCATTTATATACCTAATATGTATGTATATATAATACTATTACTTTTGTTCGAGTTTGCATATTGATTTTTAAATATTAATTATTATATCAAAACGGAGTAAAAATTAGAAAAAAATTGCAAAAATACTTTTATTGGTGTCTTATAATACTAATAGAAAAAAGTTTGTAAAAAAAAAATTATATAAATATAAAAATATTTTTAATGTTAAGTATAATGATGCAAAACATAGATATGATCCTTAAAGTGGACGAAAAACTATATATATTATGTATTTTATATTATATATATTGGGGAGGGCTGGACCAAACCGATGCTGTGAGAATCAGATGCCTATGTATACAGTGATTTTTACAATTAAGAAACCTTCATGGCAAATGTGATGATTCAATACATGATACAAATATTTGGGGAAAAAAAGAAAAAATAAAACTAGACAATAGTTTATTTATAATACGATGGATCAACGAACTAAATTTATCGGATTTTTTTGAATTATATATACAGGGTAAAACTGTTTTTTTTAGTTCCGTAACTGGACCCTTTATCATTTTAGTCCCGTAAGTGGAGCATATCGCAAACTAGTCCTATAAGTGAAAAATTTTCGCTGTTTTATTCCTCCGGCGCCGGAGATGCCCGCGTGGCTCGCCGGAGGTGACGTGTCACGTGGATTTTTTTATTTTGTTTTTCATTTAAAATTTTTTTTTTAAATAATTCATGTGTCTGCCAGGTGTCGCTGACCTGGCGGGACACCTGCCGGACACATCACCTCCGGCGAGCCACGCGGGCGTCTCCGGCGCCGGAGGACTAAAACAGCGAAAATTTTTCATTTATGGGACTAGTTTGCGACATGCTCCACTTACGGGACTAAAATGATAAAGGGATCCAGTTACGGAACTTAAAAAATAGTTTACCCATATATATATATATATATATATTGGATTTTGACTAAAAACTTGAATGAACTTAATAATTAAACAAACCTATTAAAGGAAATTAGTACGGAATTATTAATTAATTAGAAACTAATTTATCTCAAGTTGAAAATGCAGCACAATACACTCAAAGTATCATTGTAACCATTTTCGTCCGTCCCACTCCAAAGTATCAATTTAATACGATCAAAAGGTACCTTAACATCATGTTATATTACCGTATTTCTACAAAATTTTATTCCCTTTAAATTGCAATTTGTTAATATTCTACATAGATAGTTCCATGCAAGTTGTTGCAAACCATGTATACCCTTTACATTGCTGAATTTAGATGTAACATTTTATTTGTTTATGTCGTTCCTGAAGTGTGCGAAAAATTCTAGCAAGTATATTTATACAAATTATAAAATTTTGTGGAAAATATTTTATAACACAATCTGAAAGGCAAAAATTTAACGAAGAAAATATAATTTTCAGGTGCATTTTTCTATTATACAAGTAGACATGATTATTTTATTTCATATTCAACGTCACACATTAAACAACAATCACATATATAAGGTATTTTAGTCATTTCTTCGTATAATTAAGTAATGCAACTTTATAATCATATAACGTGTTCTAAATTTATTTTAATAAAAAAATAAGTATTAAATGTGATGGACGGAAGTAAATTTTGAAGGTGATGTTGTTTAGGATTATATAATATATTTCTTATTTTGGGACATGTTTTATATAAACAAATTTAGATGGAATTGCGCACAAATAATATTGAGTGACATGTTTATGCACAAATAAATATTTCACTGATTAACATATGTCGAATTAAATACTTTTTTTGACATGATTAGAAATTTTTTTT